GAAGACATACGATAGACTAATTGACTGACATGGCTGAACTTAAACATCACAGACTGCAACACAACTCCTGCAGCCGCGCGCTGCGGTGCATCCGGCCCTGTGGCATGTCGCATCATGGCGCCTCCATGCAGGAACCAGCAACTATCCCACGAGACGCATGGACTCTCGCACTGGCAGTGTATCGTGGCTTCGGAATCAACAAGCATTCCTGCAACAGGTCCCGAATACATCGCCCCAAATTACTGCACGACTGTTTGTCTTTCTCAAGCAGGAGTATCAACTTCACTTCGAAGCATGACTCCACTCGCCAAAGCCTCTTGACAAGCTTCCGAGGACGCGCGTTGCGCCAACGGCCGTGCGATGCAGAGTGGCCATGGCTTCAGAGCGGAGGAGCGCAAGCTGGACAGGAAAAAACGGTTTGGGCATCCAGAATCCAGTTGGGGTGGGGCGGGGGGGAGGCGAGAGAGGAGCTTTTATCGCACTCTAGAGCTTGCACATGCAAGCGCAACATTGCTGGCAACTGGGCATGCGCAAGCCATTCAAATATCACGAGGCTGCTTTGGCATTGAGTCCTGCTTGCCCAACTCGGGCTCTGAAGGTGGAAGCTCCGCAGGCAGGGCACTGCAAATGGCCTCTGGCGAGGTTACTTCTTTGCGCGACTCTCACACGAAGCTTTCGTTTGAGAGCTGGCCGCTGAACAACACCACTCTGGACCCATGGCCCTGATACAGAGAAGCTGCAGAAAAAATTGTTTGAGCAGTTCCAACAAAGCAGACAATCATGGTGACGGCCAAGTCCTCTTGGATCAGACATGTTTTAAACCTGTTTTGCTATCCATGACTGGCAACTGTAGCCGCGACCGCTTAAGTAGCAAAGGGATGTGCACATCTCGTAGCCAAAGCAAAACAGCAGGAGCCCCGTGCATGGTCCCCCGTGCATGGTCTACGTGGTCATGCAGGAAGAGCTGTCGGGAGCGCAGCCTGCTGCAGCTGCTTACCAGGAGCTCTCGTGAAGAAGGTACAAGTAACAGATTGGCCAAAAAAAAACTGACACACATTTGAAATTAACCTCTTTGCTGGTCAGCCTGAAGAGCTAGCTACTAGCTACGCTTGTGGTTCGTGCCCGTCATCCGCTGTGCTTGAAGCTTCTTGGCAAGATGCCGCCAGAAGGGCTGTCCAGAGAACTGCCAAGACCTGGGTGAGGGGCGGTCATGTCATCTATTGAAACCGTACAAAAGCAACTTGCTGCAGGGGCCCTGGCGATCAGCGGAGTGCATGCGCGAAGTTCAACATCCGAGACTTGCAAGACTTCCTGAGAAAGCGTCGCGTATCAACAGTTTTAGAGTGTCTACCACCAAGCAGACGAGAAACCCCATCTGTTGCTGTTCTTGAACGCGAGTGCGAACGCCTTCCAAGTATTTCCAAGTCACTCCTATGGCACCGCTCAGAAGAGGGCCCAGGCCAAAACCCAGAGCATTTGAGGCGAAAATGCTCACCATGAGTTCCTGGCTGGTGAATTTGAATCTATTTGAGAGATGGGGCGCTTTGGCAATCGGGCAGCATGGGCCACTCTCTGGCATTGGAAGCCTCTACTCGAACATACCCCAGGTCTTCTGCGCCAAAGCTGCTCGAAGCTCTGCTTGCGGGCTCACCTTGACCACCATCCTTAACTTGTTTGTTTTAGGCTTCAAGCAAGCAGGTGCCGGCATGCTGACCTGGAGGTCAGACGGAACGGAACACATCTCCAATTTCCAAGGATCATCTGCATGACATCGCCCACACTGTCAACCAGGCCGTAGCTCATTCGCAGCAGGACGAGCAGACTGGTCCGAAGCGTTACCTTACTTATAGTATGATGGTCGCAACAAAGCCAGCCACTCAAGCAGAAACTGCGCATGCAACGCCTGCGCTTCTATGGATGCTGATTTCGAAACAGCTCTCCGCCTGGTGACTCTCGCGGAGAGCCCTGAGAAGCCGGGTGGATGGACGACCACGGCACAAAGCGCAGTAGAAAGCGCATACACTCCATAGGAGACCTTGCACGCCGTCTTCCGGCATACAGCAGGTGAGAAAAGATTGACAATACGAGGCAAGCTTTTTACTGGTCTTGCGAGGCCATCCTGTTCACAGCAGGGCTACTCAGGCACAAGAAGGCTCATTAACAATCAGTAGTTGACAGGTGGACTAGATTGTAGGCTCATTCCGGGGTTGAATCGATTCAGAGGGCAACGACTCCACTGTTGGTTGGTTATATCTATTTGATTGAACCAGTTCAAACATTACCCACCGCAGCAAACTTACAACCAAGTAGTTGTCTCGTCCCGTATCATGACACCGTTGTGTCTGAAGGGGCTCCATCTCGATGCCTCTGCATTGCCAACAACAACAGGGTACTGCAATTGCTAGGATCACTCACATGCCCTCAGGAACTGCGGGCCTGTCGCTGTTGGGTCTTGCCAAAGAGTTTTAGGATTTAGGGCCGACCCCTCCCCTCCTTGTGGTGCTGTTTTAGGGTTTATACCCCCCCCCCCCTGCTGCGGTGTGGAGGGCGTGAGCTTTTGGGGATTGAGGCTTAATCAGGGTTTAGAAATACAAGTCTTCAGGCTTTTGGGTTTTAGGGTTCAGGGGTTACCGGGGGCAACCCTCGTCACTGTCGGTCACTTTTGGAACCCGAAGAAGATGACAGTTGCGAGGATAGCGAGCCGCCACGGAGGGGAGGGAGGGGGACCATCGCGATCCAACCACCCTTCCCTCTACGCAACATCCTATATGTGCATTGAGGTCACCGAAACAAGACGTTGGAAAGAAAACCTGGTTTGAATATAGAAACTGATTCGACATGAAGCCGGGGGGAAGGGCGAATTCTCCAGCCAGACCTTGTTTACACATCGCTACACAAAGCGGAGCAGGCGCTTGCTGGTGCTTTTTTGACGGCCGTGGAGCCAGTGGCATGTTTCTAAGTGCGAAGACTGGTAAATTACCTGTTTTCCCAAGTGGCCAGCACGTATGTGCAGACTTTTGCCTGGTTCCAGCACATCACAACACATCTGGCGCGGAGTGCTCCTGGGACAGCGTCACAGCAACAAAAACCGCACTTTGCTGCACTTCTCTCTCTTCGCGCCGACTTTTTGCAGCTAAGGGGCCAAGTAGGTAAACGGCGAAGGGGGCTGACACCATGAGCCCAGAGAAGCCGCTTCCCTGCCCAAGATGAGCGGCCAGGTCGTAGGACAAAGGCACAACCACTGTATACCTTGACAGGTGAATGCTAAGCTAACAAGCGCCATCGGCAGGAAACGGGACCCTGAGTTCGGATGGGGAGGGTCGAAACCCCAAAGCCCCTCACCAATCTAAGCCTCCGAAACAAGCGATTGTGCATTCCGCTGGTTCCCCTGCATGACCACCTGACGCAACGTTTCAATGTGAACCCTCTAACTACCCTATAGATGCTTTGAGACGCTCTGAGAGGGGCCCTCTGAGATGCTTAAAACTTTAAGGCTTGGTGGGTTCGGAATTCAGCGATGTCGAACACAGTGGGAGCCAGATTGAGGCGTCGTCTTACGCCGGCTGACGTTGCCGATGTTAGGCACTCCGCGATCAGGAGCAAGGCTACCAAGGTCCGGTGAAGCTGACCTCGTGCCAGCCATTCCACGCACACGCCTTGGACAAATGAGACATAAACATGGGAAAGCCTTAAGAGTCTTGAGAGGCGAAAAACGGCGATTCAAAACATCTCGACCCTCTTCCAAAAACTCACTTCTGCCTGTTGACGGTTCTGTTGTGTGCCACCGCAGATTTGGCATGATAGACTGCTATATGCTGAAGCAATCCTGCCGAACAAGTCTCCAGCAAAGGACGCCAGGATCAGCAGGGCCAGGATATAGCCACAGATCCTATAATGCTTTCGGCGCCTACGCATTCTATGAATACAGGACTGAGATTTCTAGTCAAGAAGGAATGCATCATGTTGCGTCTGTCAACACGCTTATTGCCTGGGCAGCCCTGCAAGAGAGACAGCTCAAACGCAAGCAAAACACAATGAGTTGCCTGGAAGTCATAAGTCTCATGCCATGCAGCCTAGTTCTCCCCGGCTTCCAGCCGAGAGGCGTCCAGAACAAGCGGACCTCCTGCACCCCTCCCCCCCTCGCCCCCTGTGAAAGCCTGCCCAAACCGCCTGGAGGAGCCGAAATCCGAAGCAGCGGGGGATCAAGGCAGTGGCCCCGCGTTGGGCCAGCCCCGGCTGCCGAGGCGGCTCGCGCAAACATCCACTTCCATCTCCACGGTCGTACCCACTACAGCCGACGACATGGCCTTGTGCCATCGGCGTCGCCAGGGCTTGGCGTTGACACAGGGTCTGCCAGCTCCAGAGCCAGGCTCCTGCGAACACGTGTCATCACACGTGCCATCCATGTTCAAGCCCTATAGTGCCTATAGTGCTTCAAACTGCAGCCGTGCACCACGTGAAGAACCGCACTGCGAGTTCTGTTGTGTGACATGTCGCTCTTGACGCATGCTCAGCTCAGCTCTGTGCCAAATAGCATCAACCCCCACCCCTTGTCACCCCACCGCGACCTGCGGCTGGCTCGTCCCTGCAGCAAGCGCAGCGCATCAGCCCCATTCCAGCAGTCCTTTAGCATGCTGGAACCGCATACGGACCGGCGCTGTTGTCTGAACATGATCTGCCTGACCCAGAGCTTTTGTCCTCATGCGTACAATCCGGTGCTGTTTCGCTGGCTGCAGGCGCGACGAGCACCCAGGGCCATGGCACCATGGCCATGCCGATTGTGTCTGCTCAGACGAGAATGATGAGGTCGTTCCGACTCCTTCCCTGGTTTGCTACACTCCAGAAATCGAAGTGCTTGCAAGCGGTTGCAATGCTTTGTTCATAATTTGCGAAGTTTCTTTGAGCCTTCACGCCATCGCCCATCACCCAATCACATATTATGCAGATTTTCATGACATCAACGTCAGTCAACATTAGTCGTCATAGCTTCTATCTAACCGACGCTCTCTATACAAAGTAAGTATGAATGATTTACATCTTTTGTAATTATGTCCTTGACTCTTATACAATAATTAAGTATTTACACATTTACATGTACACACTTGCGCACGCCAACTGCGGACTACACAGGTTTGGCTTTTGCAGCGCAGGCTGGTGCTGCTCCATTCCTCCATGCGATCGATAGTAACAAGGCAGAACTTTTCGCAGCCCGACATCACACCACCTCGACACCACCTCTGAGCTTTCCGCTTTGCACCAGGGTCTGCCAAGAAGGTTTCGACAAGTGCCTAGGACTCCACGAGTGGCCCTTGCAGTCCCATTACAATTGCTTCATCTCGTGTGACATTGTAGTATGGAGTGCAGCGTGATAGCGCTCGGCAGGAAGGACAGCCAGAGTCAACAAGAGGCTATTCTGAAGCATTGAGAAGCTCAGGTGCTCCATCCAGTTTGCCCTCGTTGACGAGGTCTTGCAAGTGCTCTGCCTGCTCCTGGGATCAGGTTGCGCCTCTACTGGGTCCTTGTTGGGGTTATATTAAATATCATCAGTTTTTAATTCTTATTGGGTTTATGATAACAAACATGTAAATTTGAAGCCAACAACGACCCAGTCTAGTCGAGTCTAGTCGTGACAGACGGATTCAGAGAAGATAAGTCATTAAGGACATGCCAAGAGGAGGATGGAGGAGGAGGAGGAGGAGGAGGAGGAGAAGCAGCAGCGAGAGGATAGTCTCTCCTAGAGCTTCCAATGCCAGATTGCATTGCAGTTCTGGGACGACAGTCGCCTCAAACACTTTGCACATACAGCCCTTCCCTATAACACATCCCGACACAACCCGGCTTGAGCACAGGACCATTTAATCAAGCCGGGACCGGCTAGTGCGTTGTCATGGCTCCTTGAACAGCTGGCACTCGAGCTCGCCTGCATTTCAGCCGAATGATGTCACCAGCCATCCAGATAAAGTGCGATGCTCACTTAAGAGGCTGTCAACAAGGTACTGGCTGCTGGCTGCAGGTATTTTTCCCCGTGTGGACTGGCGTGGGTCAAATCTTCGAACTGTGCAGGATATGCCTGCGGTCACATGCTGCAGTCATAAGGCGCCAGGCCATCACACGCAGCAGGTTGTGGCAGCCAAAGCGTCCATGTACAGCTACGTCATTTCAGCTTCTTGGCGTCTGTCATATCAATCACTGCAGCTCGAAGGCTTTGCTGGGCCTAGGTCGCACACCCCCACACACACACAAACAGAGAGAAAGAGAGAGAGAGGGAGAGAGAGAGAAATAGACACAGACAGAGACAAACAAACACGTGTGCGCGGAGGGTTGCAGAGAATGGATTTAATGACAGGCTTGGAAGAGCGAAGTACAGGATAGGAGCGCCGGGTGCTGATGCACGTTGGGCCACAACAGGAGTTGACGATGGGAAAGGGGGCACCTTCTCGTCGTTCAATCTGTAGCCCAACTTTTGCAAAACTCGTCTGCATTCGTCCGTGATGCCCTGGAAAGAGGACCGTTGCTGAGGGGAACATTTTTCAAGGGCCTTTGGAATTTGCAGCAGGCAGGTCCTTGCTTGGCCCTGAGCCTAAGACAGTCGATATCACCACCATGGGAAAACCTGCAGGCTCGCAGCTGTCATGGCACCACGTCACTGTGCGGCATCGACCTCCTGTACACCGCATACTCCATCGGTTTCTTGTGAAAACAAAACTTACGCTTTCCAACATCATCACGGCTTGCATCAAGGGCTTTGAAATGGTGTGTCTTGTGGTCCATTCCAACCATAAGTAAGCGAAGCTCTAACTTCTCTGAGGTTCTTAAGCTTCATGAATTCGTGCCTGAAGCCTTGAGTGTGAGACGGGGGATGGGTGTCGGTGTTCCGAAGATCTAAATGGCCTCCAGCCGGCTGAGGCATCTGCCGACCATACACAGCGCCGTCTTGCGCGACAGGGCCTTCCAATAGCACGCCAGCTCATCCTGCCAAGCAGAATTGTTTCAACAGGCTTCGGCTTCTCCTGCATTCGCTTGCGGACGAGGTGCTGTTTTGTTGGTGTCGACGTTCTTCAGCGCCAACTTGCCTAGTGACAACGGGGAAAACACATCAGGATGGCCGAAGAGCAGGATGGCCGGAGAACTTCGACGAAGACTCGGGATACCAACGGGCCGAGACGAAGTTCGACGAAGGCCGGGGGGCCGGGCGAAGGTTCGACGAAGGTCGGGAGGTTCGACGAAGGGGGAGGGGGTTCGACGAAGGCCGATACAAAAGGCCAAGACAAAGCCCGAAAAAAAACGCGAGGGTTCGACGAAGGCTAAATGAAGGCCGGAGGTTCGACGAAGGCCACAAGGGCCGGGAGGGGGGTTCGACGAAGGCCAAGGGTTTCGACGAAGGCTAGGGGGGTTCGACGGCCTTTGCCGATAGCTGTGTGCCATCCGCCCCCATACGCCGTCCTGATCGGTTTGGCCCTGACAACAAGCTAGCGATAAAGGCGACTGCGATGTGCAATGACAAAGGACAAAAGAGACGAATGGCGCCCAAGTCGTCACTGCAAGCACATCACGAGTCAGTCATCGCTGCTTTCTGCACGTGTATTGCTGAGGCTTGTGCTCGCTGCGCACTTCTCCTCATCCAAACGAGCAAAGTGACCATACGTACTCTTGCACTCTTGCATGTGCGCTTCAAGGAAACCAGTCGTTCCTCACAAAGCAAGAACTGCAACTTGCATGTATCTGCAAACCGATCCCATGATTGGGGGAATGAGACAGTGATGCGAAGTGTCCCATCATTGACTACTTCCCTGCATATTATGCGGCACCTCCGTGTCCAACTGGTTGCAGCCTCCCTCGACCAGAGTCTTCTTGCGGAAGTCAGAGCATGCAGCTGGCGCAGGGCACTCTTCGAACAAGAACGAAGAAACGGCATGAATGCAGCATGTCTCAAATTCTGGGCTAAGCATGGCGACCAGGCTAAACTATCATTGCAGCCAATCGTGGCTGATCTAAAATGTGCAGGTCTACGCTCCAGTGAACACCGGCATCTGAGTCTCAACCAATTCATCCGGTGCACCATCCACGCAACATCTGCAAACCACAAGATATGATAACACGTCCGAAAGCTTAAAGGAAAATCTATGCATGTCCACGGCCAGGCACCATGCTCGCAGCAAGCGCCATCAGTTGCATCAATGATCTCCTGCAAGGACACTCTGTAAAGTTGGGCTGGTCGGATGCTTCAAGCACACCGGTGCCAATATGTGCCCACGTCGAAGCGGCAAAGAGCGAATTAAAACGTATTCTGTATCCCTGACCAAAGTTGCCGCCTGGGCATTTGGCTTGAGCTTGCCAGTGCTGCAGGAGTAGAGTCCACAAGTTTCTTAGCTTGGCAAAAGCTGAGAACAGATCATGTACGTCTTGTTGCACCTGTTGCACGTGTTGGAGTGCAAAACCAATCATCCACCAGCCCAGACGCTCTTGCAGCAAATCTCCGCAGTGCTGCCGGCCGTCTTGTTCACGTCCGGATTGGGTGCATAGTCACCTTGATGTCAACCGTAGGACAAGGTAGATGGTTGGAGAGGTCCCGATTTTCTGGACTACATCTAGCCCATGAGGGTGCAAACCGGTCTTGCAGCCTTGGCACCTGTGCACTTGTCCTGGTACTGAGAGCATGTCTTGACACAGCAGGTCTCATCATCAACGCCAACCTCATATTCAGACGGCGTAATTAAGTGGCTCCAGACTTGCACAACGCAGCAGCATGGCGTAGTTGAGGGGGGTCGTCCATTCCTGCCTCCCACGGATACTTACTGAATCATGCAAACTTAATTTTAATTAATGGAGAGGATGTAAGAAAATCATCTGGTCCGTCAGAGGCACGAAGTCATCCGTACCTGACCACGAAGAAGCTTGGTGTAATTTGTTGTTCATGTGATCGTGATCTACGGTTCCAGGTCCTGAAATGGTCCTGGAAAGGCTGGTCACAAGCATTACTGGTCATCTCTCACCTCCAACCCTTCGCCTTGCCCACACAAACAGGGCTTTAGCGTTTGCGCCTAAGACGCTTGATCACATGTACAGGTTGAAGTCCGCGCACAATCCCCCTCGCCTGCTTTCTTTGTCCAGCCCTCGCCGCACTCGTACTTCGAACATGTTTTCTGGCAGCATGCCTGGTCAGTTGCTGCAAACGGACAAGACACAACCTTGACCGATGTGGGTACTCGCCCTTGCCGTGGCCCAGACACATGGAGGCCGCCGGGCGGGGTCTCTGAGAACGAGCTAAATCTAAATGCAATCGCAACGTGTGCTGGGTGGGCACGACAAAGATTTCGTCGGGGCTCTGGTTTTTTTGCCACCCGCCTAGCCGACCCCCTCTCGGGTTTAGAGTTTCGGGTTTAGGGCCCGGTTGTATAAGGATGGAGGACTTTTAGGGCTTAGGCTTAGGGCTTTAGGCTGAAGGGTCGAGGGATTTAGAAATCGTGGATGCAAGGATTAGGGGATTTAGGATTCTGAGGTTCGCCTTTTCGAATTCAAGATCCGACGTGGGGGAAGGGTGATCAAAACTAACTTTCTGGGGGCAAAAAGATTTAAAAAACTGGGGTTAGGACTTCGAGCGCAGGGTTAGGGGTCAGGGTTCATTAGACTATGGGATACTGTGCCCAGTTCCCCTCCCCACCCCCTTTACAGAGTGACCAGATGTTTTTTTGTGAGGCAAGCCTGCAGAGATTTGCAAATGTCAAAATCATCATCGGTTCATCGATTCCGCTCGTTGGCAAACAGTGTATTCCTAGATGATGCGTTTGAAGCTTTTGAGCACGCCCTTTAAAAGGAAGGGGCCAAGCTCTGCATTTGCATACATCTAGACCAACCGAGACAGAGACAAGCCAAGGGAGGGCGATTTGCAAAACATATGACGACCGCATGCTTCCCTCAATATGCAAACAGACTGCCACCATGCTGCCTCCTGCAGTTTTCTGCACGACCAAGCAACACAAACGATTTGGTCACTTTAGTCTAATCAGAATCGACTCCCTTCCCAAAGATTCGGTCGATCCCCACGTCCAATGTGTTTTTCGAATTGTATCTCCGGGCTGGAAGCGTATTTAACATTAGGAGGGATCGGGAAATCCTGATCCGCACACACTCAACCCAAACTCTCTCGCCGTCTGTTTCAACTCGATGCCCCCGAATTCCGGATGTCCGGAGGGTGCTGGAAGGGTGGGCCCGGAGTGGGTTTTTGAAAAACTTCTGAAAAGCGTTTTGTGTTTTATTCGAGGGGTTCGGATGGGCAGGTTCTCCGGACTCGGTGTTGAAGATGCTTTGCGTGGCTTCACATCAGCGCCGGCGTACCACACGCGACTGCTTTGCCAGGCACGGTGAGCCTCGTCGGAGTGCTTGAGTGCCGTCACCTGCAAAGTCTTTTGCTAGGGCATTAGGTCGTCAAATCGGTGTGGCAGATGCGCTGAGCAGTACAGTGCCGGCACTTTGGAAGAACATGGCTGCAGTGATTAACGCAGACTGTCTCTGCACACTCTTGAATGATCTCCAAGCCTGTTGAAACATCATAAATTGGGGTCGAGAGCAGGACAGCAGCAAGACATCACAACATGTGAAGTCGCATGTTTTGTGAACTCAACTGAGCTCGATTGAGTGCTTGGCCTTGACAGGGTCAGGCTTCCAACCGGCGCTGCACTTGTGGGCACTGCAGAGCCTGCGAACGGCCGAGAAGCTTTTGCAGTGACATCTTGCCTTTAGGACTTCGGCTGGCAGCGCAACACTGCTGAAGTGTTTATGTCTCTCACCACATATGTTCCACCATCTGCCAGACGATGTCAGACCACTGCGCGCTCAAATTGCTGCCAAGGGAACGGCTGACAACACTCTTCTTGGCTGTTGCCCACCACCTTCTCCTGCCCACCACCGCGGCGTTCAATGCACAGCATGCACTGTGACGGGATGTGACGGGTGCAGGGTCGTACAAGGCGTCTCAGAGCGGGTGAGTTTCGGTGACTCCCGGGAGACTATTCGGACAGATGACACCTGAAGAGGGAAAGGTCTACCACGCCCTCCGCGGGCATCAAGTAGAGAATCAAAAAAACGGCCCCGACTAGTTACCAACCAACGCAACAAAGTTGTGTCATGAGTCAGCAATCTGAAGCTGGCTTGACAGGCTAGGCTTAGCCGCTTCATTGCACGGGGCAATCTTACAGAATCTTACAGACGATGGAACTGGGATTTGCACATGCCTGCAACAGCACAAAGCGAGTAAGCCAGCAGGGTCCTTGGCAGAGGGCACTGCGTAGCCCTCCGGGCACGTGAAGGCTGCACAGGTCGCGCTGCAGCATTTCTCGTCACTGACGTCGGTGAGGTGCAGTTCTGGGCCGATCGGTTTCGGTGCTAGGCACTGTGAAATGAACGATTGCAGAGATGCCAAGACTTGTTCGGGGCAATGTAGAATGGGAGTCCTAGGCTCTCTTTGCATGTCCTAAAGCTACATGGTCCTTCTGATTACAACTTGAAGCGACCAACCCTGGAGACAAGTGAATCATAGTGTCATTCATCAAAGCAGTGCAGTCTATTGCATGGCTTTAGCTTGCCGCTTTTTTGGTCTCACCCATCCGTATCAGAGCTGTCCCCGTAGGGAACACAGCTCGAGTTCTGCACTATCTCCTGCAGTCGGGATATGATGAGGTTCCGTCGCTGAGTGGGCACCACCTCCAGACGCATGTAGCGCTTGTCAGTCTCAAGCTGCTCACAGAGGCCATGGAAGGCACCTTCTCCTCGCAAGGCTTCTGGATCACGAGCTGCCTTTGTTACAACTTCACTCTGTCGGAGCCACAGGCGGAAGGCCTCTTGGGCCTCCTGCAGACGGAGGCGTCGCCAAGTTTCCCAGCGGGTCCTCAGTTCGGATTCGGGCACGGGTCGGAGAAGCTCGTCACCATGTTCACCCAGCTTGGCAGCCACTGCCTCGACAACAGCAGGAAATGACAGCTGGGGACCTAAGTCGTCAATGTTGGAGCGCAGAAGTGCTGATGAGAAGGTATCTGCTCGTCGTTGCAAGTCCTCGTCACAGATCCTGTTGAAAATCTCATGCAGGTAGACCTCTTCAACATCTTCGGGAAGCTGGGAGCGTTCCTCCTGAAGCACCACACGAACCTCATCCCAGGACAGTTCCAGAGGACTGTGAATCTTCCTCTGCAGTAGAGCTCGCACCTCTTGCTCTACCAGATCTCGCCGGCTCCTCTTGCGATGCTCTGCCAGCTCCTGAACAAGGAGCACCAACGTGCTCCAAAAACAACCTGGGAAGACTACCGTGAACTGTGGGAGGGTGCACATGAGTCCCCATGAAGTACAGCACAACCAGCATGTACCCAGGATCCAGCAACAAAAAAACAAAACAATGCTCAGCAACCTGGCATCATCTTCTTCATCTGCTTTAGATTTTCTTGCAGCTACCCACTTCATGTAATGGTCGCGTGACATCTCGTTGTACACGCGCTGGCGAAGAGCCTTTGATGCTAGCGCCTTCCACCGAGGCTGATGCCGCAGAAGCTGTCGTGCATGCTCAAAGCTCGGTAGGTCTGTGCCTTCTGCATTTTTGCAAAGCATCTCTTGCAACAAGGCGCGGAAGTCTCTGACGGACCGCTCTTCTGCGATGGCTTTCTTCTGGGTGATACTCTTAACCAGGGCTTCTATCAGACGAGTTTTGTCTGCCATCGAGGTATTCTGCCAGCTAGGCTCTCCACTAAGATGACTAGCTGAAATCTGTGCGATAGCCTCCTCGGCAGTCTTCACTTTGTCCAACATGCCATGGGATTCAGCGGCTGACAGTAGATCCTCGAATGCTTGGCGGTTGTGACGGCGAGCGCTTGACTCGAGACCTCTTTGTTCAGCGGCCATCCGTTGAAGAACTTTCTGAAATAAAGGCTTCCGCTGTGTCTTGGGAACGGCAATGAAGCGTGGATCAGATGCCAGACGTGGCAACCACGTCTCAAAGAGGTCGCCTGAAGGCACCTTTCTGTCTTGCAGCAGTTGCGTGAATTGCTGCACCTTCTGCTGGGCTCGCTCCTTAGCCGTGAGGATCTGCTTGTCATCTTCAGAGCCAGACTCGCCGGAGCATCCGGAGCTGAAGGAACTCGATACAGAGCAAACTTCGGCCTGCTTGTCAAGCTTGTGCCGCTGCTGCCGGCTCTCCTCCTCGAACACCTCGGAGGCCTGGGCCTCTTTTTCACCTCTCTTTGCAAGCTCCTTCTCTCCGGTTCCCCTGGCCGGAATCACACGATCCAGTGGACCAGTTGGAATTGTCCAGCGCGACTCTTTGGTTGCGGGGTTATAGTAATAGGGCACACCATACGGTGATGGATGGGCTTCCCACACCTTGACCGAGGCTGGGACAGCATCCTCCATTCACGCTACAGATCAGCAAAGGTTAACGTTGAGGTGGAATCTGTGATCATGCGCGTCTTCTTGAGCCGGCCACATGTAAAGGCCTTTTGCACAGAATCTTCGCACTTCTTCGCATGTTTGGCAGTCCTACAGTGTCCTACAGGATCCAAAGCCACTCAATGCAGCAACTCATGTTCATTGTGCCTTAAATATCTTGAGCGTGAAAGCAGCTGTGTGGATGTCTGCAGCTGCGCCACTCTTTGGATCCACCGCCATTCCTTGCCTGAGCTGACGCCGTGACAACCGGCGGCTGGCATGATACAGCTATACAGCTACGCAGCTATGACATGCTCTGAGGATGGCTACTTGGACGCTCTCCAATCTTCTCTCATTACAAGCGGGGAGGTTAACTCACATCTTCGCGTGTGAAGTCACATCTCCTCAGTGACACACGGCTGCGAACGAAGTCACATCACCCCGCGCAAAGTCGCATCACAGAGACATATGTTGAAGCCTTTACCCCAATGTGCACGCGCCGCACGCGCATGTTCTGGACACACATGCAAAATACGCACTTGTCACCGCACGCCTGGGTGGGGAGCACGTTTTGGTCAGCGTGAATGAGATTTCTGCTTGGGGGTGCAAGTGGGTTCTGACCAAGCTTGGAATTCGCGAATCCCCAGTGTGCACGCGCCCGAGATACGACTTTACACAAGAAGATACGACTTAACCTACCCGCTTGTACGGCCAGGCTTCGACTCATCGCAGGTGTGTGTCGCGCAGGTTGCCTCGCAACAGAAGCTTTGCTCTTCATCTTTGGGGAAGAGCTTGTCCTTGGACGCAACACATGAACGCATGAAGGCACAGCGTAATTCGTCGTGGCTGCTAACAGCTGCAATCCAAATTCAGACACAGCGGCTACGTTTGCCTTGACCTTAACGTAGTTCGGCATGCAGGTAACGTTGAAGCAGGTTGGCGCGCAACATTCCTGGCATGAGCGCTGTCGAATCAGGAGCGAAGCCTCCACTGCGACGACCACAACGACGACCACACAAATGCAACAAACACAACTACCCCAACCACCACCAACAACCTACAACCACCACAACCACCAACAACCACCAACCACCACACCAAGAATCCTCGGCAACCACCAACAACCACCAAGAACCTTCAGCAACCACCAAGAACCACCAAGAGCCAACCAGCAACAGCCAGGAACAACCAGAAACAACCAGAAACAACAAGAAACCACAAGAAGCGACAAGCAGCAGCAAGCAACGACAAGCACCAACGAGCAACAACAGCAACAACAGGAAGCAACAAGACACAACAAGAAACAACATAGTCCACATATGTGTCGGAGTTGCGCACCTCCCACCCAAAAGATCCACCTGTTTTGCCGGCCTCCGTCGTAATGCCAGCTTCTTGAGACTTCTCGATGGGCACCTTTCACTGACTATCACAACTACATACAAATACTCTAGGCAAGTTACCTGACCGGGCATCCTCGGCGTTGCGAAGTGCCACTTCTCGTTAAACACATATACAAGCCTTCCGCGTTCCTACTACCCTGCAGCAGAAGCAGCAGGTAGCAACTGCTTGCCGGACATGGCTTTTGTTTGCAGGACCATATGGCGGCCTTGAAGTGGGCTGGGCAGGAAAAGCCTTTGCACGTCTTGTCGCAGCATTGCCTTAGCCAATGCGAGGGCCAGTTTCGGGCGACATGGTCTGACACCAAACTGTTACCGTCGCACGATCTTGCGAAGCACACTCGCAATCATCGTGCCACGGTGTCTGCCGGGCGGCTCGTTCGAGCTGCCTACATTCCCGGCATATCTGGCGTCGGCAACCTTGTCGTGTGCACAAAAGTAGTGAAATATCAGTCCGTACCCTTTGGTTCTGCCCAGTGTCGGCTTTGCCACCTCTACCTACATCCGCCACTTGACCGGACTCGCTGCAGCAGCGTCGCGTAGCCGGCACTGCAGGTCCAGAGGGCGCATGTCTTTACGCCTCAAGGCTTGTAATACCACAACATAATTGAGCTCACTGGCCCAACAGAGCAGCATGGCCAACGTGGCTCTGCAAGAAATGCAAGTCTGAGGTCGCAACAGCACTGGGGATCGTTGGAGCCTGCGGTCATAACTCTTCTTTTGATGCAGGACTGGGTCAGTTCAGGCAAGCTGTGTATGCCTTGCAGTTCATGGTGGTCCGTCTTCGGCACCCAGCCGTCGCCTCAAGCTGCTTAACACCGTGACATCACGAAAATGATTCTTCCAGGTCACTGGCCCAACAACCGCCGGATGCAACGTGGTCAAGGTTGTGCAAGAATTGCAAGAGTGTTGCAAGAGTTGCAAGAGTGTTGCAGGTCTGAGGTCACAACTGCAAATGTGTCCTGGGCACTCACCCGCTTCAGAAGACTCGCCCTGCCAGCAGAACATCCCCCCCCCCAGTTGCCAGGCTTTGTGTGGCTTACAAGAGGTTCCGGGCAGCACGAAGCACTGAAACCTTTAGTAAAGCGCCTTGGCAATTATGTGCAAGGGTCCTGGTCCTACGTAGGCTTCCGCCCCCGCGCGCCAAACACTCCCAGCAGAACCAAACACGACACATTTCTGACCGCACCTGCTGGCCCTCAAAGCCTCAGATCACCAGTAGGAAAGACAGATACACTGCTCTGACTGACACAGTGAGTGTCTTTGTGTGTGTGCGTGCTCTGGTGAGTTGCACATGTTGCAAGAGCGGGCAAAGCTGAAGTCTTATGAAGCGTCAACCAGATACTCGTTGTGGCAGTATACTAGTAATGAAAACACATGCAAGAGCAGTACATGCAGTACATGCAGTGCAGCACATGTCATTCTTCTATAAGCTGCACTTTGACCTGCCTTTTGCGCAACCAGGTCGCCGCTGGAAGTCAAGAGACTGGCCTTCAAGGCCTGCTTGGCAGCGTGGTCTCAAGCTAAGGATCCCTTTGCTGTATACTGTATATAGGTATATAGGTACCATTTGAAGAAGAGGAATGTTTGGTATGAAGACTCGAACACCCCCAAACCCACTCAGAATGTTCAGAACAACCCGCTCTCCGCCACCTCCTACGGTTACCATCAGCATCGTACGATGATATTCTAAGATTCTATTCGCGAATACTATCTTTTCCCCGCCTTAAAATTCTCTAGCCGCTAGCCTTACGAAGACAACTGGCAGCCGCGACCAGTGTGGTAAAAGATGAGCCGTCTTATCACTGCAAGTCTGCAGTGTGGAGGCGCGTGCGCATGGATCACCTGACTATTATGGTAGTGCTAGCAGCCTACCACAACAACACTTGCAAGATCTCACAATGGCCTGCGTGGTGCTTGAGAGAACGGCAACAACCGCCGTCAGCGTAGCCTGAAGCTTCATTAAGCAATACACGGTGCCCTAATTTGGTGCTGATGCTCGCTGGCGCACGCGGACATACATGTGGAGTCCTGAGAGTCGACTGAGGACGGAGCGCTCTTCATTGACAGAGACATAGCGGAGAGCGGTCTCCCTTCCACAGGGGGCTTGTCAAGGCCAGGTTGCACATGAACAGTTGATAATCAGTGCGGATCAACCAGAACTGCATGCTGCTGGGTGGAAACTGCGCCGCAAACTGATCATCATACTGTGCCTTGTTGGCTTCGGGTCGGGAAGTCAACGTTCGACTTGAGCCCAAATGCAAAGGGGCGCAGATGCAAAGGTTGGGAGCTGACGCAAGGAATTGCAAGGCCGAACAAGCTTCGACACATTCCATAAGACAAAGTGCGCCCGCTTCCAAGCGTGTGCCCTCTCAGCATGTCAGCACGCTCAGCTGTCTAAAATCCGAAACACAACCTTGCGATCGGCCCTGGCCTGGGTTTCTGGCCTCAGTGGTGGAAGCTGGGCAAACTCTGGTCTGTTATATGAGAGCGTAAGGCTGTAAAGCAGGCAAAGGTTCAACCTCCCCGGGCTCATTTTTGCCTCCCGACTTGAGCGGCAGTGCCAATGCATAGAATTGGCCATCTTCAAGCAAGCCTCAGAGCAAGCATTTCAGCATTTCAAGCCGGATAATTACCTTGCAAAAAAATTGAATGGTTCTCTGCCCTCACTGTGCCCTCTCATCCCTCTTTCCTCCACCACAAAGTCTGCATTCGTTTCGGATGTAACATCCGATCGGGAGTGATATCTTTTGGCCATGTTTCACCGGCATCGACTGCTGCTTGAGATACTCTTGAGTTTGTGTTTGGGTGGCTCGTTTGGTTAGCTCCACGTCGAGTCGAGGCTCCGCGAGGTTCTAGCGAAAAACCGGAACCATGCCACCTGGTACAGCAATGGGCCGTGTCAAAGGCGGTTGCAGTTGCGCCAATGCCAGACGGAGGAGCGGGACCGAGCAGGACTCCTTATTTTCGACGAAGATAGTTCGATGTTCCGGATGGACGAGCTCCCGTCTGTCAGTCGCAGCAGTGGCTGTCGGGAGTGCGTTCGCCAAAATGGCCAAGGATATCTCACAAGATCGAGGCACAACAAGCCAGAGTAACGAAGACCCACTCGGGTTGCCGCTTTGAATGCAAATGGATGCTTCCTGACACTGGCATGAATGACCTTGCCATGTGAAACAAAGCCACACCTGCCTCACGTCGTTTCTGCCCAATCTTCGCCCAAAGATATTCATGTAGTCGAAGCCCTGCTATTTTAGAACAGCTGGCTATCCCACCTCCAGATGCTGATCATGAAGTATTGCAGATGTTATACAGTGATACCGGGTGAGGAGCGACGAGATAGCGAGCAGTGGTCCTTTCAAAGTTTTCCCGGCGTCGTGGTTTGAGACCGTTCTTCACTTCTCTCCTGTTCTCCCTTCAGTATGCCTTGTTCTTCTACTCGCTCAGGTCAGGGTTCAAGGCAAACCTGAACGCGCTTGATGGACCGAACAAACATGAACTCGGGACCTCACCTGCCGAAGGCAGGCTTCGTGTCGCACATCTGCCCTATCAAACCACACGAAAATGCAACTAGCTCACCAACTTCAGGCATGAGTCGTACAGCCTGACCGAACTGCAGACTCTTCACCTTACTGGCAGGGGGAATTGCCACACAGTCAACCAGAATCTTCCTTCAGCTTCACTGCTTCCATTTGTCGAGCTGTTTTGTGGCAGCTTGTATGCGTCTTCAGATGAAGCGACTTGCTTTGAGTATGTGACCCGTGCCGACAAACCTGTCTAGACTTACGTTGCTTAGCTTCGCCTATGTTCTGATCCCGCTGCTCTCGATGCTCAGGGACGCAAGCACCGATGGTCTCATAGAAAGTGATGGAGTTGGCTGGCAGTTGCTGTCGCCTCATCTCCTGGATGCATCTGCACTTAGAGGATCTGCCACCCAAGGGCCCGTGCATCTTGGAGGTTCTTGTAGTTTTTTTAATACACGCCCTGATGCCCTACATTGCCCTACTTCAGTCTGGCCGGCAGCCCTCCGAAACAAAGACTTTCTTAGACTTTCTTGGTTGTCATCAAGTCATCCTCGAAGAGGCAGAGGGCTTGCCCCCACAGCGTTTCGTCTTCGCAAGCCCTGATGGCCCTGATGACCGCACTGAAAGAAATCCTCGGCTGAACAGGTTGCTTGTCCACACCAATCGACTGGGCAACTGACTCTGAGTCTCTCTTCTTCTACCCAGCGAAGAGTGAAGAGGACTCCCAGCAAGGGGACCCCGAAGGTGCCGGCCAGCTGATGATCTAGTGGTTCGCTCGGCAATAGCAGTGCTGCATGGAGCATGGCATCCTCTGCCCAGAGTGCCTTTTGTCACTGAGTGGTCACCAGCACCCTCTCGGGCGCAGGTGCACTTGGAAGCGGCAGGTCTCTCTCTCTCGCTCTCTCTCTCTTCTTCTTAGTCTTCTGTGACATGCTGCTTGGTTCGGACCGAGTGAGACTCCTCACTCGGAACTCCCTTTCTAGTGTCTCTCGGGGCTTTATCGGTTCTACTTTTGTTCGTTTGCTTACAGAACGGGACACTCTTCTCAGCTTCACTTTCGCACGCCGACGACCCGGAACTTCGCGCACCCCTCGGGGCGGCTTCCCTTCGGAGAAAAGGGGGCAAGCGTGTGGAGATTGAGAGAGAGAGAGAGAGAGAGAGAGAGAGAGAGGGAGAGGGAGAGGGAGAGGGAGAGGGAGAGGGAGAGAGAGAGGGAGAGAAGGAGAGAAAAAAGAGAGAGAGAGAGACGAGAACCCGATTCGCCGTCAAGGCCAAGCTACCCCGTAAGGAGGGTTTTTAACGCGCACACAAGAATCCCCCGTGAGGGGGGGTTTCAAAGCGCAAAGAGAAGAAGGAGGAGGAGGAGGAGGGACAGAGAGAGCGTGCGCTCGCCGCTCGCACCTGGTCCAAACTTCCCTACATCACTGCCCAATTAATAGGTCGGGAGCGATGACCTGCAACCTCAGGTACCTTTCCAAAATTGCCGGCGTTTCGCCATCAGCCAAGCCTCACATCCGCTTGGTAGCCACGTTGATGTATGTCGTGCAGGAGCCCCAGCGCGAGCTGCCACTGCCTGCCTGCGTTCGCACTACAGGGAAACTGGGACTACCGCTGGTAGCTTCGCGAAGTCTGCCAAAGCCCGGGACGAGAACTGCTTCAAAAATCATGACGACTTCTGCCAATTCAGCTGCGGTGCCCTTTTCGCAGGCAGAGATCGCTGCGTTGCATGTCAAAGTGTTGAGCGGGATGCGATGAGAAGCCAGGTCCTGCCGTGCTGAAGTGGGAGTGAATCGGGGCTTCACCCGAACGACATGAGGCAGGAGGTAGTGGGCAAGCCATGAAGATTATTGATACAAACAGAAATACATGTATATATATATATATATACCAATTTGTGTGTGCCTTTTTCCCCGCATGACCCCATGAGAGCGTCCTCCAACAAGCACAGTGCAGCTTGCCATTGGCCGCCTTTCACGCGACGTCCATGCGTGAGTGGTTTCTGAACTCACTGAGTAGCACGAATCAGCAGTAATTAGGCATGCCTGTGATGGAGACGCTAGATGTAGTTTTGGTATAGGTGCGCTCACTAGTCTTTACACGTATCAGGGTGATTCGTGCTAGTGCACCTGACGCTCCTGTTCTGCCTGTGCCGAATGCTACACATCTTCGAGCGACCTGTTTGCAGGCAAGAAGTTGCTGACCCGCGGAGCCTTTCTCGCACGCCGTGATGGCGGCGCCGAAGGTCACGATGTTTGGTAGCAACTTTGCCAGGCGCAGTTCATCAAGAAGGTGAAGTGCCTGCAGCATGAAGGCCACGCAGAAGCTTTGATTCAAGGCGAGCGAGATTTGGGGAGAGGGGGAGGGGGGGGAGGAGGGGGAGGGGGGGGGGGCGGAGGGCCAAGTCAAAGATCAACATGATCTCAGCACACATCATGCTGTTTCATCACATCACGCATCAGGTCAGATTAAATGACCTAACAACATGGGTTGCGGTCGCCCGCAAGTAATCTGGCGTCCACTAGCATTTCAATCGTTCAGGATCCTGCGCTTTTGTTCCAGGAATCGGGTGCATGCATGTGGCCGCCACGTCGCAAAGCAAATTAACGGCAGCTTATCAAGATTTGACAAATTTGATACCGCCACTTACTAGTTCTAAGCAGCATTCTTGCAGTTGTCATGGGTTGCTTGTGCTACTGCAGTTGAAGGCCAGAGCCAGGGACTTGGCAGAGTCGTCCAGAGAACCGTCCGGCGGGGGTTAAGGAAGATAGGGGTTCGTCGGGCAGTGAGTGATGGTCCTGCTCAAATTTGCCCTTTTTTGTCAAGGCAGGGCTCAGACGTCCCAAAGCTGCGCACGCGCGCACACACACACACGCACTCTGCCTGTTCCCACTGCGGATCCCACCGCTCGCCATCACCGAAGGCGCTGATTGCCTTGAAGCCACGCGTCACGTCCAAGGACTCTCTCTTCGCTGGGAAGATCTGTGCTGGTTGCCCAAAGCAATGCTTCAAGTCTAAATTATACAATTACATGCAATTACTCAATGTCAATTGTGGTGTCTCCGGTAGCCTTCCTTCCCGCAAAATAAATAACGATGCCCGGCTACGGCCGAGTAGGTGTAGATGTCTGGTTGCAAGGACCGCTTCGGCAAGAGGTCCAGAAAGGCCAGGGATTGCTCCCACTGGCCTGCTATCCCACAGGCGCTCACAGCTGCGTTGTAGGCTACCTCAGCTGTTGCTGAAGTGCGATGTCTGCTACGTGCAGTGCTATACTGCTTCCACTGGAGTCTTGCGCGAACGAAGGTTGGTCGGCAGCGGTCTCGAGTTCCTGCAGACATCTTCCGCCGGGCACTCGCTCCCTATAGCGCTTTCCAGTGGGGTGTAACTTTCGCGCCTTGATACAGTACAATCACTACGCAATAAAATCTCTTTTCGCTGATTATGAAGCAGCATGGTATATGTTAGAGGGCAAAAGAGGTCTTCTGGGTCAGGTTGTATTGAGATTTTGAAATTTTCAAGCGCCAAGCTAGCGCGGCTTTGTGATCACCAAGGTGCGACGCGAATTTTGATCACAACCTATATGGTTTGCAAAGCATCGTTGCATGACAAGAGGCGATATTGGCTTCAAGCCTGGAGCTGCCCACGTCTTCGAGAACTTGCAAAGCATGCGCCCACTGTCCACCTGCTCACCAATCGAGATTTGAGATGGTGCCGCAGCGCTTCTGCCTACGTTGGGCTTGAGATGCAACGGGGATTCTAGATGATTCCAGCCCCCATGACCTTCTTCACAAGCAGAGATGACGGCACTGAAGGTCACGATGCTGGCTTCAAGCCTCTGCTCCTGGGGCACGCCGACTGGCCAGAGAGCAATGACATGCCCACATAGGGCTTGAGCTGAAGATATCCCATGCAGTCATCCACTGCTCTCACGTAATGTCACAACAGGACGGTGAACGATTGCATAGCTCGTTGCTTGGATACCAGTCCTGCAGATCTTGCAGCAAGCCTACGGCCCTTTGCCATTCATGTCCTTGTCCAAAGGCACCTTGCATATTTGCACACGAGATCTGGAGAGACAGCAACAAGCACTGTGTGCTTCGGCAAGATTCATGAACCAGCTCATGTAGATGTAGGACACCAACGCTGGAAAGTGAAGCACCAGAATGTCATTAAAATTCCAACTTTACGCAGCTTCACGCATGACAAGCTCACTCGTGGCTGCGATCTGAGACTTCCGCTGATGACAGCGTTGTAGGTGATGATGGTAGCCTGCATGTTCCATCAAACCGATCATTCAAAGTTAGCGTGCGCTTCATCATCAAGCACGCCATGGTGCTGAAGCCAAAGGCATGAGTGGATTGTACTCACAATTGAATACAGTCGTTCAAGAACCAGCACCTTACACCTAGTAGCCGACAGCCGGGGTGCATGAATACTTTGTTTCGTTGTGGATCTGAGAGTGATGTTCTTGGTTCTGGCCCGCAGTAATTGTGAAGGGTGTCGGCTCCTGCAACCGCAGTTGCTGGAGGTCACGGAGCAGCCCGACAGCCTTCTGCCAATTCCTTTGCAAGGCAAGTGCACAAGGCTTTTGATGTTCAAGATCTTCAAGGTCCCTTATCCGTGATATCCACTTGTGCTGCCCCTGCGTCCAAGATGCTCACCCTTCCCACAAGCACTGATCACAGAGTTGTAAGAGATCACCTGCCACGGCCAACCCTTGCGAGAAACCGTGTCTGCAGGTGCAGGTACGATGCGTCTTGTGTGGCTCTCAGCCGAGCTTCTGAGCATACATCAGACAAGCGGCGTCTGCTTCCAGCTGAGACACGCGCAGATCCAACAGCAGCGACAGCGCCTGCAAAGCAACCCGGGAACTTAAGAGTGCAAGCCTGGTGAGTACTATTGCTCGGCATCAATATCCTATCCACCATTCTTGGCCGTTGCCCTCCGCACCGGCCTGCGCCCATTGCTCACCTTTCTCGCACGCGCTCATCGTTGCGTTGTACATGATCACATCCTGAGGATTGGTTTCCACACAGATGGCCCTCGTTCCAATTCTACGGATTTATTCGAAGGGCGATAGCAGAATTTATTTCAGAATACGGCGGCTGTGCAATGGCCAAATCGGCCTGTGTGCACTCTTGCAACACGACACAATCACATGTCCAATACTGCAGTTAGTCGAAGCGGCGGGTGAGATTCGGGTTTGATTCAGGTCTCGAAGCAAACGCAATGCAGTCTGCCAGGCCCCGCCTTCCAAGCAAGCTCACAAGCAGATGCACACGGTCAGCTCTTCAATTCTTGCCGGGTTCTATGTCAATTCACAAACCTGCCACTGCAGCAGTATTGTTGAGCCGGGCTACCAGGCTACCAGCAACAGGGAGCAGAGAGCAGCAACGGAGAGCCAGTGTCAGGAGGATGTTTTGGACGATGTTAGCAACAATGGTGGCAATTGACGTACAAGGACGATGGCATCAGTCTGCTCCTTCCTACTTAGCCCGCCTTTCTCGCACGCAGTAATCGCTGCGCTTTGCATGATGATGTTGGTCTCCAGTCGATCTTCCCCCAGATCGGCCAGCAGCTGCACCGCCTAGCAACATGCCGACATGCAATTCAGATCTTGTTGCAACAGCTGGGCTGGCTTCTGGAACAATCGTTGCCAATCAATCGTGGCTCTGGGAAAGGCCCGGGCCCGAGAAAAGAATTCCGAAGCTCAGTCTAAGCCATGCCTGCTCCCAGCACCCCGCTCGCGCGCAAGCGCCGAGAGCTGCGCCGTGGACGATGCAGTTCCTGAGCTCAGCTCGGGATGAACATGATACTTAACACTTTATGATTTTAATCAGGCTGACAGGAGCTGGACCACTACTTGTTTTGGCCATCCTCAATGCCAGATTTGGTGCCTCTCTTACTCAAACGCTGGGCTTACCACATCCAGCAGTGGCTTGGAGGCTGCTCTGGGAATTGCACAGATCTGATAAGCACATCTCAGCCCCGCAGCCGCCTCCTTAAGCAAAACTGGATGGCTCTGACTTTTGTTCTGGGCACGGTTGCCAGCCCCGCTGTCGTGCGACTTGCAGAAGGCACCTGTCTCGTCACAACACTGGGGCCCCCTGCCATGGGGGGGGGGGCCCTTTTTGGTAGAAATTATCAGAGGTAACATTGCAGGCCTGCTCATACCACCAGCAAGGCTCCAAGGCTCCGACACTGCTGATTCCCATTGTTGACTCCGTCCACACTTCGTGATTGTCTGACTCAGCACCTTGGCAGTCAGGAGTGAGGCCTCTAACGACAATTGCAAGCGAGCCGACGTCGTCGGGCTGAGACATGACAAGCTGAACGGCATTGTGGCGGTGCGAAATAGTTGTCAGCCTCAAAGATAGGCTGGTTGTAATGCCGCTCCAAGCAAGACAGAGGAAGCATCTTTCCAACGTTGGAACTTGAACTTGCACTGCGCAGGGTCTGAGGGTGGCCTCCGATGGCTGTCCAAATGATAAGAGTTTCTGTCTCTTAACTGAGCTATGCCCAGCTATGCTGTGGAGGCTCTCCCTCTGTTCCCCTTGAACCCACAGAATTCAAAACAAACCTTGCACGAGCTGGCTGGTCGCCTGCATATCCTACTCTCAAGTCAGTTGGAGGTGGGAGACTGTGCTCAGATCTCCGTGAACACTTGTCTTGTGGCATGCCTGTTCCTTCGCTCATGTTCGTTGGAGCTCGGATACCTCATAACAAGCTCAAGAGCGTCTCCCACTTCAGAGATGCAACATGCATCACAAATAAGCGTTGCATAGGTGACACAATCCATATGAAGACTGTTACGGGCTCAGAGTTTAGCCACTACGTGGAATGTCCGGAACGCATCCTAAACAAACTGCCACATGGCAAGTCCTCACATGGAGTATTCGCAATCAATCGCAATCAGTCACACTCCCTCTTAAACCTCATCGAACTACTTTCAGGTGTCATGACGCAACAGATCACACGAGGAAAATAGGAGGCTTGAAGGGCGTCATAAACAATTCCATACGTGAGGCAGCAGGGTGAGGCGCAGCTTGTGCTGCGAAATCCATTTCCAGAAATGCAGTTAACAGACCTACAAGTACTGGGTGGCATGGGAATTGCAAATGGGCAGAGGTTAAGTGACTCCGAACAATTGCCTGATGACTTTGGACTGCACATGGAAACATACGTATGGATGGGCTCCACTCCTGCTAGGCAGAGAGGCCGACAGCCGAGCATGCGACAAACATCTCCCTGAAATGGAACTATCCTTGAAGGCTCTTCGGCTGTCTCTGCCGCTTTGTTGACAGCTTTTACCGTGCTCCGCTGCTTAGCAGGCTAGCACCGGGACCACAGTTGGGAAAAAGGCCTCCCCCGCCGCTAGGTGCACGGAAGGGTGTGCCTGCAGCAAGGCTGTGACCATGGTCCCTCGCCACATTATAGCTGATCAGTCCATGTTCCTCGGCATAGGCTTCAACACCGACCCAAGTTGTCAAGAGCGAAGGCAAACCAGCGAGAGGGTGGTAAAAGCCGAGGCGCGCCGAGGATTCAAGGGTCAATTCCAAGCTTGTCGCAAACTGCTGTCATCATTTTGACGAGCAATGCCGTCTTGAGCCTGACCTTCAGGAGCTTTTCTTCAACTGGCTTCTGATTCTCGAGTAAGGAAGACAAGGGGCGGCAATGATGTCCGTTTTTGAAGCAGGACCGCGGCATTTGAGCAAGCCATCAATCATCTCCTTGCACAATCGCATGACACGATGCTGGCATGGCTGAGCACAGAATGAACTGAAGACTTGAAATGGCTGAAATGCTGTCCTCAAACTCCAGCTCGCCGCTCAAATCAGCGTCCAGGACATCAAAAAGATCGGATTTGCATGACAAATCGATCCTTGCATGAGAAACGAGATGAAGAAGTGTCTTTCAAAAAACTGAGAAACATTGCACGGAAGACGATCGAGCCTCTCAGCTTCAAGGAGTCGAGCAAGCACAGCTTGCCACGCAATTCCGCAATTGACGGATATGAAGTGATATGAAGCTCGGAATGATCGGTCAAGATTCTCAGAGTCGTCCAGAGTTGTGATAAGTTCTTTCTCGCCCGAGAGCCAGTGATTGAACTCCTCACGCGTCACCACCACATTGCCTGGGCGCGGGTCCTATGCAGTACGTCATGTAAACTCCGCGTTCTCCTGAGAACTCGATGGGGCGAGGGACCAAAAACATGCCCTATACACCGGGATGGGCATAAACAGTGGCCCGGTTATCCAGGTTACGCGTGGCCATTTCTTTGCGAATCTTGTTTGTCAGCTGCTCGTACTCGTGAACGGTGTGCGGCTTGTATCCATACCTCACACCACATAGCAGACATGGCATGGCCCAGCGCCCAGGTCTTACATCTTGCTCAAGGCTGCTAGCCTGAAGCTGTCTTTGCAGAAGCAGTTGCATCTCTTGCAGCGCCCCGAGCTTCTCCTTGAGGATTTTCGATGGACGGCGGCCATGAGTGTGATAGTCACCGTTCATCATCTGGCAGAATGTGTGCCAACATGTGGAGTCCTTTGAAGAAACCGTTTCAGCCTCGGGTTACCCTAGACTCCTAGACAATCTGTACAGTTAGCCAATCATGTCAAGAAGTCTTAGGGGTGCAATGCCACACGTTCATGAAGAGGACAAGCCAACGCCAAAGCCTGCACTGATTCCAATTGTTGGGGCTGCAGGGGATGTAGGGAGCAATGTTAGGGATCGCCAGCAGTGAGCTGTGGTATTTGCGAGGAAGACTCCGCGCGTGAATGTTATTTGTCTCCAAAGCTTCCCCCCAAAGGACTTTGACTCATTTAGCGCAAGGCAGGCAAGTTATGCAGCGGCAATGAACGTATTCAAAAGTACCTGCCATGGACTTCGACTCGCTGACTGGAGCTACCTCCATATCTCGCAGCGACAAGTATCGCTCTCCGTGGGCCTCCTCTTCGGCTTCCTTGTGCAAGATCTTGGTCAAAATGATGTTTCCTGAGGACGACCAAAAAGCCGCGTCATGGTCTCAGGGAACTGACGCGGGCTCAAGCTTCTCTAGCCTTGAGGACGGCGGGAGTACGTTCCGTGTCTGCACTCGTCCCTTATGCATCAGAGCTGCTCAAAACGGACGAGATCAGCCATTCCGTCTTCGGTGCATTCCTGAGAGTCTTTGGCAAGCAGACGGCATCCAGCACTATGGAGGTGCACACGCAGTATCTTCAAAGCTTGGGACTGGTGGCTTCGATGTGAATATGTACTGGCAGTTGCTGGCAGGCTGGGATGACTCTCATCAAGGGATCTCAAGGGATCTCAAGGGGGCTCTGAGTCGTGCACCTGTGCGCACACGGCGCTCCACAAAGCCAAGCGTCGCACCCAGCTGCCTCTGCCGCTTCTTGGTGCTGCCATCCGTGACATTATCAATAAATACAGCCTCAGCTTGCGCATTGGCCTCTCACGAGAGATCTAAATGAAAGCCATCGTGTCCAAAATGAAAAGGGTAAACGTCTCAACTCGAAGCACGCGCAAGCTGTCACAAGCATGCAACTGCAATTGCAAGGCTCTGCAGCCTAAGCGGCCATAATCAGGTTGAAGATTCCAATCGTAACGAAAAGAAACAGCAGAATGTACATCATCATGAGGACGCCACCCATGTCCTGCAACAGATGCACCGGGTTATGGTGATGGCAAGACGCTCATGACATGCAGATACATTGTCTGTCAGTATCCGAGACAGAATGCGAAAACGAATCAAAGATAATCAAACATTATACTGGTTGTCTCGAAGGGGCCGAGTCCCTGCGGAGCTTCTCTTGCAGAGGAGTGCCATCGTAGGCTGTGCAGCCGTCAGTGACACCTGGGACAGCGATGACGGCCACTACGCATCTGACACACGAAGGAGCCGCACCCTCACCCTCTCAAAAGGCACAGAGATCACAGCACTCAACATTAGGTGTTCTAGCTCGTCCCTCACAAGACAAGTACACGGATGGGGTACCAAGCCCTGTGAGCTGCACCTGGACTGAATCTATTGAATTTGTTGGCTGTCTCGCAAACTCCAGCCCAGAAGCAGCGGAAGGACGTGAACATAGCTGCAGGGACCGTCGAGAACTCATCATATTGGTCAAAGAAAGTGCGAGTGATCACCTGGCATTCGGGTGAATCAAACTTCCGCGACTGCCCAACGCCGGAAACACCACGACAACTACTTCTAAGTCGTGGTGGCTTGGTTTTCAGGCTGCGTACGACCGGGCCGACCGGAATGATTGGGGACAGCATGTGCGGCCCATTGCGGCCCGCACCCTCCACTGAGGATCCTGACCTCCTATGCCCTGGCAGTACTTGTACGGAACATGTTGTATTGTTTCATCCTGCGACAGCATGAAGGCCGTGCGCAAATGCGGAATGTGAGCAGCATGCACAATAGAGCCAGGTACCCCAAGGAGATACATGCTGGTGACGAGGAGGATCACCTGAACTGCGATTAAGTTTGGCATGGCGGCATGGAGCAAGAAAACAATGGTTTCCGTATGTTTCAAATCATCCAGTCTCTCGGTGCATGAAGGCAAGAAGGGGAAGGCAGAGCGGATAGCAACGGATAGAACCCCAAGTCTAAGCTCTCATAACGTGGTCGTTTTTAATCTCTGCATGTTTTGGCGAGGTGCGGCCCAAGTTAGAACTCGAAGGCCGGTAAAGACGCCCTGGATCATCAGCTTTAGCTCCTGCCAGGTATCGGAGTCCACGCTTCAGTCTCCAGACCGGCCCACCGGTCCGTTCAATTTCAATTATGCAGATTTCTACACCAGTGTCCTGAAAGATCTTGAACTTCAGCAATCGAATGATCCGGCCCAGCCGTGCTAACTTCCTTGATGGCTGGTTTAAATCAAGCCAGAGGCTTCCCTTTTGCTAAGGTTTGCTAAAGGTCTTGAGAGAGCTTGTTCGTGTGCACACCATGCGTTCTCATGACCCCTGGAAGCATTCATGTCTTGCAGCTACCGGTGGCCACCAGAAACAGTCGAACACTCATTCCAGGCAATCGTGCCCAACCGCCAGGTTGCCCCAAAATCTGAAACCCTGAGCGTTAGCTGTAGAAAGGTTCACTGAGATTCAATGCCAGCAACTGCCAGCCAAGCCACAACATCTTCAGTGAGCTCAGCGACCCGGAGTCCGAGGCTGCACTGTCCCTGGGCAGACGTTTGGCGGTGCTCGGGCGTGGCATGGGTGCGCGTGTGTGCATGCGCGTGTGCTCAGTTGGCATCTGGATGTTGGCATTGTAGTGTGTGCATATATACACATACACACTAACATACACTAACACATGACACTGCATGTATACAGTATACATATATGTATGCTTGGCACCGCGCGATGGTTAAGCCAGTCGTGTCTCCGTGTCTGCAAAAGCACCTGCAAGAATTCGAAAAAAAAAACCTCCTAAGCCAGGCCACATTGTGCCGTAGGTGACAGCAAGATCCACGAGCGCCAGAACCACGCAGAGGATATCCTCGGAAAAGCAGCACATCACAGCACATCACAGCACATCACAGCACATCACGGCACAACAAGCTATCCATCTGCTTGAGGTGTGTTGTACAGTCCAGATCTGCTTTTGCCGGGCATCGAACCAGCTCCAGTACCAGTCCTTGCCCACCAAGTACTCACGTACGCCAAAGACGCGCAATTTGACACAGATCTCCCCAACGAAGAACACGGTAAAGAAAATCTCAAACGCCTGCATGGACTCAAGGGATCTCCAGCTTTCGCTGATCGCCCTAGCCTTGCAGTCATGCCTTTGGCCTAGTGACCGGTGGCGGTATCATCAGAAAGCGGCTGGGCATGCTACATTGGCGACTTGATCTGGCCTGCCAAATTGGACTTTCTGGATGTATGTCTGCACTGAGACCGGCCACAGCGGCACTCAGCATGATAACGACAGCGGGGATCACATCCAGCATCAGCAAGAAAGTTGGACCTTCAGATTCTTCAGAAAGATCTGGCACACGCGCAGGGTCTTAAGACAAATATTTTTGAAATAGCTTGGACGTGCGGCGCGGCCTAATCGGTAGTTGTAGTTGGCAGTACTGCGACATTCTGGTTAGTGCCCCGGTATTACGACATGGTAGTACTGGAGTGTCGCACCTTGTGAAACAATGGAGTGGAGGCCTGCGACTACAACCAATAGTCCAATACCCCACCGGTATTGTTCTGGCCCAAAAGCTCGACACATCTCATGGGGAAAATGACAAGGAAGGAACACCGCCTAATAACCCCAAGCAGGTGCCGGGGTCTGACATGACTCACCACATGCCCAAGTGTTTGTCCGGTTGGCTGTCTTCCGATTCCTCGTCGTCAATCCATCTGGAGTTCTGCCGCTTGTAGTCCCTGACCTGGTCAATTCGAAAGAAGCACAAGAAATGCAGCCCGGCTCAGCCTGCAGAGGTCTGGGAGTTCTAGGGCCCTAGGGGCATGCAGAACTCAGCCATGCTCAGCTTCTGACAGACATTTTCTTCGGGCTTCCCGGCGGAACGGACTTCCCACTCGGGCTCTTATCACGCTTCTCAGCATAATCGTCCAGCTCATATGCAGTGATGGCTTTCCTTGGATGAGAGCGGCGCGTGGGATCTTAAACGGCGAATACAACCCGAGACTTGATCGCAGAAGGTGTTGGGCCTCAAGCTTCAGTGTGCTGCCAATAAGTGTAACACTAGTTGATACTACCTGCCAACATGGTGTACATGAGCGCAGTGACATGCAATTTGCGCTTTCATTCGTAGCATTTCGCAGCCAATCCACACTGGCTCGATGATCTCGCAATCCTCGCCGCGTATTTGCCACAATGGATCCGCTGGCAACTCGCCTGGCACCTGCTTTGCAGACGGCAGTGCTCAGGGATGCTTAGGGCTTTGACAAGTTGGGATGTGCTGAGGTGTTAAGTGCGAACGTCCAGGCTGTACCAGGAAGCTCTGTGTTACGTGCACTTTTGACATGCTTTGACCACGGCGCTGAGGTGGAGGGCGTGGCGGCGTAGGCGAGGATCGGCTGCGGCGGAGGGTTTGAGTCAGTGCTGGAGCGGCGAAGCTTCCAAAGGGGGTCCTGCATGGTGTCGGTCCAGCCTTTTACCCTATGTCATACATCATAAAGCCTCCGCTGAGGGCCTTGAGAGAATTAAAGAGCCTGGAGGGCTGGGTTCAGGATTAACATACCAGAACATCCTTTGGCTGCAGGTGGCTTCAAGACTTCAAAAAGCCAGGCTCTCCTTGTGCAGCTCTCTGCGCAGCTCGTTGTTCTCAGTGGCAAGGCGCTCGTACTCCGCATTCAGTGCTGCCAAATATCGCTGGAAGGAAGAATCACCCAAAGCCATGGCCCACGCTGGCAGGGCCGCTACGGCCCTATCACACAGTGGAGGCTACGTGTCGACGCTGGGCAGGAGCTGCTGTGGCACTACACGGAGTTGCAACGTTGTGATTTAAAGCACCTTTTGAGGAGCAAACTACAGTGCCACATGGAAAACGCTGCGACACTGCGACGGATCGCTGCTCAGAGCTGGGACCCTTAAGCCATCAAGAAGGACCAGTCCACATCAAACGCTTTCTATCGGCGCAGTTGAGAAGAGACGTGTGCATGGGCAGCCTGACAGGCTTGCGAACCTGGCAACCCCTCAATGCACATCTATACTCGTTTCCATAAAATATACTGTTTATAAGTATGTCTGTTTTAACTATATACTAAACACGTACATGTACAATATATATATATATATGTATGTATGTACGTATATACTATGTAAATGGAATCTGCACACATACAGCACCTTGGCGCCTAGAGTGGAGGGATGGGGCGTGGCATTTGGGGACGCCAAAACGAGAATGAGAAGTGAGAACTCCAACACAGTAGGAAGCATGCAAGGCACGTGGTCGCGGATCCTCCCTGAAGTTCGCGTCGCCTCCACGAGCAGAGCCAGTCCTGAACGTAAGGCCGCAGCATTCGCATGAAATCAGAACAAGGCTGCCCCCTACAGTACTCCCTTTCCCACAAAAAGTCTTGCCGGCTAACTGCTTCGCACTTTCTTGCTCGGCAAGCACGCAACTCTCCCGCCTTTTGAGGAAGGTGGAGAAGCTTGATGCACCGCGCAGTGGCAATCCACAGCCATTCGCTGCAGAGATCTGCCAGTTGCAGCCGCAGACCCTGACAGAGCAGTGCTAGCTAGCATCCATCTCATCCAAATTGCAAACGTGACGAACGTCACCTGCTTCTTGGGAGCTCTACATACATGTCAATGCACCACGCTTTCGTAAACACGATCCTGACGCAGGCCCCGGCCGAATGGAAGCCAGCTGCGGAGTCAATCGAGTACTCGCACCCAGCCCACCAAGGGAGCATTGCAGCTGCAACAAATCCCTGCAGTCTAAGCGGAGTGTACCAGCTACCGGAAGCACACAGCTGGTTCCAGTGTAGGTTGCAAACTACTACAACAGTTACTGTACAGTAGGAAGAACGCATAGTTAGAAACCAAGGGCCAACCATGAATGAGACTTCGCGCGGTGGCTTGGGCTGAGTCAGTCAGAAGCTTGGCGCGCCGACACTCCCGATGCCGGATTACACGTGCTTTTCGATCTCTCGCACATTTGCACAAGAATCGAAATTATTGTGTTGCCTGCCATTATTGAGTCATGTAGAGGCACTTCTCTGACGCGAAACGGGGCATAGCCTTCGGCTTTTTTAGCTGCATGCCAAGCCATGCTCTCGAGATCACGCAGGCAACTTCCGGCAAAGACGGCATCACCTGAGTGCAGCCGGCTTCGGCACTGTTAAGACGGTGAGCTGGAGCCTGTTGCCACAACTAACTAGCTGGCTAACACAAACACAACCACACGCACAAGCACAGGCACAAGCAAGCGCACAGAGAGAGAGAGAGCGCGAGACAGAGAGCTAGAGAGAGAGAGAGAGAGAGAGAGCGAGAGAGAAAAAGAGAGAGAGAGAGAGAGAAAGAGAGAGAGAGAGAGTGACAGCGCCGCCACCAATTCCACCCGCAAGTCGCCAGCTCTCTCGCTCATGTGGAGCATGCAGCGGTACAGGAACGAGTCGGCCTCCTTACAAGAGAGCAACATGTGGTCACATCACCAAGTGGTCGCGGACACTTTCCCCTTCTCCATATGGGCATGGCTCAATGGAGGCCACTTTCGCTTCTTCAAAGAGGGAGAGAGCCTCGCGCAAGTTTCTGTAGAGTGCGCACATGTTTGGGATCTCACATGCTTCGGCAATCTTCAGCAAGGAGCGGGGAACCGCGGTCCCTTAGCCGCCTTAGCCCCTTCATGCAAGGGAAGCAACTGGATTACATTCGCCGATGGGTTGCTCAGATAATGGCCCCTTCGCGGCACTTCTAAGACTTTCTAAGCCTTCCAGCGTGCACCTCCTCAAAGTGCTCAGACTGGTCCAACGCCAGGAGGACGGCATCATAGCTGGCAATGTTAGGCTGCAGGTCCGCACTCCGAAGCTCATCAAACCTGGCCCAATCTGCACAAACAGATTGCCAACATTTGCCAACGACGTCTTATTCCGACGATGTCTTAAGCCACGATAGACCGATAGACAAGAGACACAGCAACGGCACGTTGCCATTGCTTGCCCTTGGCACAAGCACTGATTGCCGCTGTCAACGACACAACGTTGGCTGCCCAATAGCCTTGGCACATCTCGGGCTGGTGGCATGTGGATTTTGAGAGTAGATGAATCAGATGACCAATGCCGAAACTTGAGCCACTTCCCACAAGCCCAACGTCAAGCAACATCTAAAACTTGCCACATCTGCAATCCTGCAAACCAATGCCAACGTTCAGTTTGAAGACCCGATGATGTAGCGGGCGACATCCACAGGCTGAGAGGCACCAGCTCTGGTTCTGCAATGTTCTGCAGGCTCGCAGCCCACACGAATACTTTGGACAAGTGGCTCCTTCCCATTTCCAGAAGCAGTTGCAGCGCAGCTTGCCATTCAGCTTCTTCCTGCGCGCTTGCAACAACCCTCAGGCACATGCAAGGATCCAAAGAAGCAGCCTCAAGAACAAAAGAGGCATGTGCCGCTACCAGGCAACATTTTATCGGCATGAAAGAGTGCCGGAACGACATGCCAAGCAAGCATGCAAGAACGAAACTCAACGTTCCAACTACGACGAATGCAGGCTTGAAGCAACTAAGCAACCCCAAAGCACCGAGAGTCTTCACATGCGCTGATGGCGGCGCTGTACGAAATGACGTCCATGCCAATGCGCTCACAACTGGCATGCTGCAGCCTCCAGTTTCGCAAGGCCAGACTGTGAGGGGAGGCGAAGAAACGATAATGGGAATCTGGGGCGGAACTTGGCGGAACCCGGCCCACTCGGCAAAGTCGGCCTCTCTCTCCCTCAAGACCTTATGCTGTAGTATAACTCAAATTGAATTTGAGACGGGAAGCAGCTGCAACGCCATTTGCCACTGCCCACGCTTCTCGCCTCTGAGTGCGGTGGTCTCAAGAACTGCGACGATGCCTTATGCAACACCTGAAACAAGCAAGTGTTGGCCATCTGTTGAACCATTGCAGCCGCAACACATGCACTGATTGCAGCATTCACCACGACAGTGTTGACCTGAAAGGTTGGCAAAAGTGCTCATCCAACATGTTTAGCGACAAAGGTGATCTACTGACATGCACGCGCCTGCAAATCAAACTGTAAGACGATGAAATCTGAACTTCGAGCTATATGAAGCTCTGACAGGTGCTCGTCATTGACCCGCCTCCAGCCCTTGCTGTCGGCTTGCCATAAGGATACTCAAAGCTCTCTGCCACTCGCCTCCTGGTCCAGGGATGCTGCACCTTCTTGGGCCTTGCCTCAAACTGCTCTACGCGCTCTATACGGGCTCTATACATCTCTATAGCTTCCGCCCCAATCCTCCCATGTCTCCCCATGTCTCCCCATCCCTCCCTCCCCCCCCTCCACCTTTTTCCAGGGCGCTGATCATGGCACCGATAGCTACAACGTTCGGCTCAAGCCGCAGAGCCGGCAGACTGCCAAACAACCCGCTTGCCTGCTGCCACCTCACAGGTACAGTAGAAAAGCCGAAGTCTGAGACGGCAATACCCTACATTGCCCTAAGTTCGAGCATGAAAAATACATAAACGAAGAATGGCTGTAGAAATATGTAGATCAGAGAGTTCTTAGTCAGACAACTCAGAAGGTCGCCGAGGAGCGCCCCGGATTTCTCGCAAGCGCTGATGGCCGCGGTCAGCGTCACAATGTCGGGACTCAGCACGGCGGAGGCACAGGCGAGCGCCTGCCTTGGTTCTTTATGCTTTGGAGCACGTTTTCACCGTGTGGCCTCGAATATCCTAGCAGACTGAGAAAGAAACCAAGATAAACCAACAAAAACAGTCTGTCCGGTAGGTCTACAGACGGAACGGACATCACAGCGGTAAGCTTTTCTCTCCAAAGCATGCCGAGCTCTGAACATTGCAAAAACTTGGCACCGGTTTGTACAGTTGGGTTTAGGGCCAAAGGCTGGAATCGGCTGGAATCCGTCACTTGATCGCTTGTTGCTTCGGGATTGCTGGGCAGTTGAAGCGGCTCTGCAAATATCTGCAAATGATTGAATGCTATCCAGCGGATGATGGAAGATGGAGATGCGTGAATCCGTGAATCTGAGGATGCATGTGAAGGCTCAGAAGGCCCGACTTCTTGCAGCGTACGGCGCATGGAAATCGGGCTTGGCTCCTTCTCGATAGACTGAACGGCCTACCCTGAAACACTGGGGCTGCGTCAACTGATCTAAGATGGTGATAGTAATATTTATCTGTGCCTCTTCCCGGTCCATTCTTGAAAAGCCGTGTGTTTCCACAGTCGTTCCCCGTTGGGGACGAAGGTGAAAAGCATGCACGTGTCACTGTGGACAATGCCAAGGGCTGCCGTTCACGGCTTTACCGCGCAGCACATTGCCCACCAAGCCCAGGCCTTCGCTAGAACCCAGACGCCTCCCTGTTGAAGCTTTGGCAGCCCAGCCTAGCTTTTCAAGCAAGCCTACCCACTCCCTCTTTCGCAGCCCGTTGCGAGGGCTTTGGCTTGCATGCTCGGCAGCAACAGCCAGCTAGAAGCAGCTAGAAATCTTCGCAGTCCCGAAGTCCCGAACACGGCATTCGGCGTGAGCATCTGTCCCGAGCCACAACTGCTCAGCTTTAGAAACAAGCCACAAAGCCATGACAGGCATGAACATCGCCATTCAGTCAAGCCAATTGCATGGGACGTGTTGACAATTGACTATTGTCCCCGGACTCCAGTTTCGGGACTGCCTGCACCTAGGTCAGCAGAACACATGCCGTGCAAAGGTTAGTGCGTTCAGCAAGTACAGTACAGCAGTGTAGTTATCAACGTACAATGTTACAAGCACGCGTTCTGAAGTGAGTGCCCTTGCAAAAGGCCAGCGGCGCGAAAGATCTGCGCAGTGTGAATTTTATGGCGACTGTGTTGAGTCTGTTGACTGCTTGTCCAAGCACGCATGCAACGTCGTCACTGGCCTGAATTCAGTTGCCTGCTTAGCAGAAGAGGGGCGCATGCATAGAGTCAAGGTGCAGGGCACTAAGAATTTGGAAAAAGCAAGCCTCATACCACTTCATGGGTCTTCGATGCCAAGCTTTTCACAAACTTTGAGGAGCATTCGCACAATGAATGCAGTCTTAAGCCTCACAGCGATGATGTCGGTCTTGGAGGCGGGACCGCGGCACTTCAACAGTCCGTCAATCATCTCTTCGAACTCCAGCTCCCCACTCAGATCCGCATCGAGGACATCAAACAGGTCGGATTTGCAGGAGAGGTCAATCTCGGATTCGTCCAAGCGAGAGATGAGCTCCTTATCTGTGGACAACCAATGATTGAACTCGTCTTTCGTCACCACGACGTTGCGCTCTGCCATTTGTTCGCGAATTTGATCCTGAGACGTCAGGGTGCGGATCGCACAGTGCAAGCCAATGACAGCGCAAGCAAGCAAAAACCAGGAATAAAGGGGACGCAGCATGAGTTATGAGTTGGCGGGTTTCCGTGAGCTGCTCATATTCCTGTCCAGTATGCGGCTTGAAGCCGTACCTGGCATCGAAAGAAGCAAGCCGACTCTTTTCATGGAGTGACCGGCGAATATGAACTTATGGCTAACACTCTTTTCGAGGCACATCTCTTGCAATGAGAGGATCTGCTGGTCCAGCAATTTTGAGACTCGACGACCCTCGGACTCGTGCATGTCCCCATGACCCTCGGCCATCTGCTCTTCCTTGAGCGGGTTGGAAAGAGAACATGTGAACATGCAGCCTGTATGTTCTTCTGACCCTGTGAACCCTGAAGACATGACGCCGCTGCCTATCAACCTGAGCCGACTAGACATGTGCTGGATCTTGCAATGTGCTGCCGAGTGTCCAAATCTTTCCGCAAGATTTTCGTGAGGATTATGCGCCCTGAGTGCTCAAGCCGTGATGGTCACACCAAGCTGGGCCCTCAATGGCAACTAGATCAAAAGCAGGATTGACATCGTTTGGCCCCAAGCTTGCTTACATGTCTACAAGCCTGCCTCGGCGAAAAGATATTCAGTCCTTCCCGATCCTAGATCAGCCCTTGAGGCTTGATTTCTAGCTCTCATGCTAGCATCAGTGCAGTTACCGTGCCACAGCCTAGGTGTGACTGGCAAACTAGAGGCGCGTCTGCAAGTATTGGATTTGTTTTCGAGGACTAGCGCCTACCAATGACCTGTTTAATTGTTTGCCTTGAAGTGCGGCATGCGGTGGTTCGCGTTTCCGCGATAGATGTCCAACAAAAACAGTGCCATAGTACTGACGTTGAATGGGGCTCTTGGCGCTTTCGTTGGCGACTTTTTGCAGGCACGAGTGCGCACGAGTGCTGCTAAGAGCCAAGAGTCTGAGAACAGAGGCTATCATCCACCTCGGGAACACGCGTTGTCAAAGGAAAGGCCGTCTGACACAGGCTACAAAAAAGCTAAACAAGCTTGCTATACCAAGGCAGTCGGCTCTGTCTTCGCAGCATTTTGGCCAAGCTGACGCTGCCGCTTCTTAGTGCTTCCATCTGCCACATTGTCGATGAACACAGCCTCAAAGTATAAGTCTTCGCTGCCCATCACGTACAATGCTGCAAAGAAACAATGGCCGCACATTTCGACGTGTGGACTGTGTGGTATCATGGGCAAGAAGAGAAGCAAGGCAGTCGTCACAGGGCAGTCAAGGCTCCATAATCAAATTGAAAATCCCAATCGTAACAAAAAGGAACAGCAGGATGTAAGCCAGCATGAATATGCCTCCAAACTCCTGCAACATGAGCGAAAGCGAGGGCATTAGGGGGAAGGGACTCCACGACTCCACAGTGCAAAAAGCTGACAAACCAGGCCTTTCGGACCTTTTCCTGCAGGGGCGTGCCATCATACGCGGAGCATCCATCAGTAAAGCAGCGGAACCAAGTGAACATGGCCGCCGGAACCGTCGAAAACTCTTCATGAAAGTCGGCAAATATCGTTTTGGTGATGACGCCCAGCAGGTACATGCTTATAATCAAAAGCACCACCGCCCAAAACAACACCCTGAGGCCAGTGAAGACACCCTGGATCATGAGCTTCAGCTCTTGAAAGATCTTGAACTTCAGCAGCCGAATAATCCGACCCAATCGAGCCAGCTTCAGACTCTTTAGAGAGCTGATGGGGCCTGCACGCGTCAGCAAAGGCGGCATACTGTACTGAACTTGGCAGGAACACTCTTCCTTTGCAAGTGGGGACATGCAGCCTCACAGAATCGACGGCTATTGAGTCTTAACTGCTTCTTTGACTGCCGCTAGCCTGTGTTAGCGTTCCCGTTGCCGGCAGCGATGCTGATGTAGGTAAGCGACATGTCGACTATAGCGAGAACCACGCACGCGATGTCGAACCAGCTCCAATACCAGTCAGGGCCGCACAAGAACCTGAGCTTCATCTCTAAGCATAACTGCGAGCTGTCTAACAGAATCTGCCGTAAGTTCAGAACGTTTGTCTAGCTCGGCCCAAGGTGCACTCGCCATCCAAAATATCGGACCTTGACCACGATCTCGCCGATGAAGAAGGTCGTGAAGACTATCTCCAGAATTCTCCACACCTATACGGACACAAGGTTGGCAAGTTGCACACCACGTTCCCTTTGCCTTCTTTCAGCTGTGCCGTATACGTGCTTGCCTAGACTCTGGCACTCTCTGGAAAGCTCTGGAAAACTCGGGCATCTGAATGAAAAGTCAGTGCGGGCCTCATGGTCCGGCTCGATGTCAGCGCTGAGCCCAGCAACAATAGCGCTAAGAAAGATGACGAAGGCCGGAACCACATCCTCGTGTGCTGACGAGTCTGTGGATGTCTGTGGATCATTCGTCCCATTCACTCTTCACGGCTACAGTATATGGCCAAATCCCGCACTGTACATGTTTGATAACCTTTGCGCCTACATGGCAATCAGTCCAAAGTGCCTGTTTCGGGTAGGAGTAACTGTGAACTACTCATGCATGCCAATGCGGTGCGGACATGGCAGTGGCTTCTAACTTCGTGAAAAGCAGCCAGCAGGAGCAGGAACGTTGCATTCTCTTCCGTCTCCTCTTCATCCTCCACCCGCTTTGCCTGGCCGCATCTCTGATCGCCAACAGGAATAGCAGACGTTCGCAAATACCCCAATTGACTAGTATAATTTCATTCAGTGGGCCTAAACTTGTCAATGCCAGACTAGGGGCACAGCTAGGAACAGCATCTGCCCCACGAGCGGTGGAATCGGAATGGTTGGTTACGGTTGGGTTCGATTGGAGCATTGTTCCAAGGTCATGTTGGATTCCCGGACCCAATTGCTCGCTTTCGAAGCCCAATCTCATGCAGGCGACTTACAAGGACACTGCAAAGCGAAAGGGGCAGTGCACGGCCGAAAAGAAAAAACATCGCAGGTCGAGTGGACGTCCACCTCCCACAGCGCAGAAACTACACAGCACCCGCCGTACCCGCCTTGGCACCACCCTTGGGGCTTGCCTTCGGGCTTGGCGTGGAAGGCGGCTTCAGCGGACCCGGATTGATGTGTATTGCCTCCGGTGATCCTGTCAGCTGAGAAAACTCTCGGCTAGGGCCCCCTTTGGGGGGCCGCTGTTGGGACACTTTATAAGCATCTTTCAGCACCTTCAAAAGGTCTAACTTGAGCTCGTGGCCTGGAGGCAGCTTCTCGAGGCTTGGTACGTGGGGCAGCTGAAGGGACCTGGAACTTAGCCAAGAAACCCCACGCGAATGAATTCTGTGGGAATGCTCACTTCCGAAGTGCCGAAGTGGTCCCGTGAGGAAAAGGGCATGTAGGTCATCGACAATGGAAAGGACCGCAAAGCGTCTTCTTCAAGCATCAAACGTGAGTCGTAACGGCTCTCTACCTCCTGGTAAAACCGTTGAGTTCGCGATATGCAGTGTATGTCCTGCGAATGTTCTGTTACTTCCAGCAGTGAATTGCCTTTGGACCGAGGACTGACCAAATTCTGGGCCCCTTTTCAGCACCTTCAACCAAAAGCCGAAAAACTGATGGACATCCCCACCCCTCATAAAAAGGCCCACCATTTTGATCAACTCCCGATACATAGCTCTTAGACTGGACGGAGACAAAAGCCCAGTCTTTCGCAGTATGCGGTAGCTGTACCATGCTGGACCTGCAGCTACGAAAGTGAGATGGAAAGCATTCAAGGGACGATTTCACTAAGCCTGGCCTCTCGTTGTCGTGGTCCTGCGTGTCCATGAAGGCCTTCACAGGTGGGCCGGGTGGCGCACCGAAGTCCTGACATACTGCTGCTTCAGGTCAGTCCCCGCAACGTGCGCACAGCACTGACACAGCCCTGCCCAAACACATTTCGTCAGTGTCCCGATGGCGGAGGGCCCACAACGAAGAAGATTCCTCGTTGGTACCTTGTCGTAGCTCCTTTCCAAGTGGCAAGCTATGCTGCAACCAACCTAACAATTGGAAGGAGAGATCAAAGTTACAGTACAGTCTCGGCCTTGTTTTCATGGAGGAGCCTCTCATACTCGGCTGTCAATGCTCGCAGATGGGCATGGAAGGAACCATCTGCAAAGCCCATGGCCATGATGGCACAAACGGGTAGCGGTGCTACAATATTGTAGAAGTCGCGAACAATGGCTTCAACGGCATTCCATGCTGCAAGACGTGCTGCTCTCAGTACCCATCAGGCTATATTGCTCCAGGAAATGAGCAGCTCCAATTGCAGCGTTCAGTAGCAGCTACTATGTGAAGCTCACTGCCAGGATAAGTACGGGCCAGTTAACTAAACAAGGCACTGTAAAGCGAAACAGCAGCTTCCCACTGGCACTTCTTTTGCGGCTTTGCGGTGTCGCGCCGCGCCACAGACTTCGCACATGCAGATGGAAGCTAGTCAAGGCGCGTAGTCATGCGCAACTAGTATATCATTGAAGCAGAGTTGAGTCTGAGTGAGTGGGACCTTACAGTACAACGATGAACAGTCACCATGGGTTGAATCTGGAAGCTTTTTTGCGAAGCCTGGCAGTAGTTGCTGCCAGAGCATGCGTACAGGGTCACAGGCTCATGGCAATTCACCACTCAGGTATATTATTGCCGGAAGTGTCAAAATCCAGATCTCGAGTTTTGAAGCATAAGGCTAGGCCCGCACCCCCACATCTTTGCGCTCGATTATGAGACTCTCCACACCTTTCGCCGGATGCATCCATGCAACCTCTCCTGCTTAGCAGGAGGGTCTCCTGAAAAGGTACCTGCTTTGCAGGCCGTAGCAACTTCCGGCAGCCAAAACAACAGCTCAGCTAGCACAGCCACCACTTTGAGACCTCTCGTTTACTCTGAACAAGCAGTGTGAACAGCAGCCTTGATTGGCTGCTTTGGAAGATACGATTGTGGAAAAGAGAGAATGTGTAAGCCATCTGTCCTGGCAGTGGCTTGTCCATTCAAGAGGCCCAGTCCTCCTGTGAACTCGCTGAACTCTAGACTGTAATGTTTCGACTGTCGCACTGGCGTTGTTGCAAAGTGCGGGGGGGGGGGGGTGCTTGGAGCCTTCATTCAACCCCATAAACCCGACCTTTAAAAGACTCTCAGGTGCTGGAGCTCTTCGGTTTGGTTTTTTCTGCCACCCGCCAGGGTTGAGGGTTTAAGGCATAGGAACCCTAAACCCTAAACCGCAAGTTGACCGGCTGGCGTTCTCTCGCTCTCTCTCTTCCTTCTCTCTCTTTCTTTCTTTCATGGGGCCTGCGGGGAGGATCTTCCTTCTCTCTGTCTCTCTCTCTCTCTCTCTCTCGGTCCGCTCCGCTCCGCTCTGCCTCCGTGTTTCTACTCTTCCAGAGCCGACTTCTAGCTTTAGCTCAGCTCAAACCGAAACTAGATGCTTTTGCTGCTCGTCAACTCGTGTTTAGTCTGATACAAATTGTTACAAACCACAAACCACCTCACTAATCAGAATGAAACACTAACTCTAACGCTGACGACACTTCTGGGAGGCCAACAAAAGACGGGGCCTCAAAGTCCGTGCAGACTAGTCCTCGGCCTCAATACCGAGCTTCTCACAAACGCGGTTCATCATTCGCACCAACAGCCTTGTCTTGAGACGGATTGCGATGATATCTGTCTTGGAGGCAGGGCCACGACATTTCAACCTCAGCTGTGCAGTTTCACCTCCAGGCAATCTGCATCTAGATCAAAAACCAAGTCTAGACGACATCATGACGTGCTCCTCTTCATATCGACGACGTGGACGCGCAAATTGGACTTGGGCGAATCCATGGGTTATGAGCCGGGACTTGAAGCTGAGGCCCATGGGACAGCTGCAGTGCACACCCAGGATTCCAAGTCAAGGTTTAAGAATTTAAGAAGCTAGTTTGATTCTTTGGTGTTTCAGGCTGATGCTGTGGGTCGAGAGCCTACACGTTCCCGCTGCGACTTGGTGCGAAGGCCTTGTCTTGCGCTCTTGAGACGTCATGCCGGAAAGGAAACAGCCTACAGAGCATCCTGCTCACCGCGTGGCAAGCCATCAATCATCTCTTCAAACTCCAACTCGCCCGAAAGATCTGCATCAAGGACATCGAACAAGTCGAACTTGCCTTGCAGCAGTTCACGCAAATCACAGCATGGTTGTCTCATATTATGGTTGGAACCGGCTCGTGTGTTGAGTGCAGCCCGGCAGAACGGAAGACGAGCTTAAGGCTCCACAAGGCATGGTGAGGAAGCAAGCTGCCATGGTTCGGAGCGTTACAAGGCAGTGGGGTTCCGTGAGTTGGCCGAAGCCCCAAGCCAAGTGTTTCTTCTCGAGGCTGCTCAAGCTAAACTGCGGGGTGCGCTTTTGATTCCTGTTCTACTCTCGGGCGTTCGCTCAACCTGTCGTGAACGATAGCGTCAATACGCCCAAAGCTGCTCGTACTCTCGATGGCCAACCTATCCCCACAAACCGGGCTCAACCCAGAGCTAGGCGATAAGAAACTGCAAGAACATTCAGGGTCATGGACGATCATCTGAGAGCGGCGTTGTCGGACTTAATTGAACCATCCGAATTCTGGCAGGGTGCAGGACAAGTCGATCTCACAGTCATCAAGGGTTTCGAGGAGACCCTTTTCGGTGTGCAGCCAATGATTGAATTCGTCCTGCTTGCAAATTGCGGGTGACTCTTGCTGAAACATCGCTGACCGCAGTCGTCTGCAGCGCGTTGCTGAAACCCCCCTGCCTTCCACCAAGCACTGGACATAATTTTAACATTAGAGAGCTCTACGGCACGACTCGAAGAATGCATCTGAACTCGTGACCACGTGCGTCGACATGGCCAATGTCGCCAATGTCACGGTCCTTCGTGACGACGATGTTCCTCTCCATCATCTCTGAACGGATTTTGGCCGTGAGCTCCTCGTACTCGCCTGAACTGTGTGGCTTGTATCCATACCTGCGCATCTCACCATGAGTCATTCACGTCACGAGCTCAGGAACATGCACCACGAAGGGGGGGCAACGATCAATGATCTCTTCTAGTAGAACTTTTTGCGGGTCAACCCTCATGATTGAAGTCTTCTCATTTCAGGATTCCGCAGGAGTGGTCCTCACCATATTTTGCAAACGCGATTGAACTTGAGGCCGACATGATTAAGAAAAACCCCCCCCCCGCTTGGTCGCACGGTTTGTCCCGGCGGCCGGGTGTGAGCTGGCCGGCCCCCGCACTACGCTTCTTTTTAAATCCGGCCCCGATCTTAACACTGCGATCGAAGAGAGCTATCAAAATTATGGGTTCTGTAGTACAACCCTTCTGGTTTAGGGTAATTAAAGGGCCAATCATCTTGGTTGAGCCCCCCCATATGACGCAGTTTCCCTCCCATCCGGATTGTAGGGGTCGGCCTTCTGGGGTCCTTGCCTGGCTTTTGCCTCTTGCTGTGGAAATTGGCCGCACCCGGGGGAGGGGGGGGGGGGTAGTAGGGTGCAGCCAACACAAAACGCGGCCGCCTTCCAAAACAACAAATTCGGTTGCTTTTGGTCCTTCTCCTGTGGGGGGGGGCTAGGCAGGGGGGGAGGGGGGGGGGGTACCGAGGCAACGCTCGAGCGGAAGGGCGGGGGTGATGCGAATCTGCCGATCATCGAGGCCTTGCTTGCGTCTGCAATGGTCAGAGTCGAAAGCGGCTGGGTAGGGTCTGGGTGTTTTTTCATTTTCATGCGTGAAATCTGTGCAAGAAGTATCTCGTGCTAGAGGAGAGGCTACGCTTTTTGCCGACTATTTTGCGTCGCTGCACCCTGGAAGAAGGCCGGACCCCGTCTCCCGGCTGGCTGGCACGGGGGACCAGGATAATGGCGAAATACACCCGAAACAAAGATGCACAAGCTTTAGCTGGGCAATCCGACATGGCTTCTTCGGGTGACGGCTGCAGCAAAATCGTTGGGGGCAGGGGGGATATCTTGAGAAGCCGAAAACGGGCATCGCGAGCATCTCTGGAGGTGCCCATGATAACATCAGCAGGCTCCCTGATGCCTCTTGGCCCCTCTTCCGCTGCCCCCCATGTACATTTGCTGGGGGTCGGTCAGGGGGGGCCCACGGGGGGTGGAGCGGGAGGGTGTGGGGGATGGACCATGGTAAAGGTGTTAAAATCGTAGGCACAAGCACATGTAACTGATCAGCCAACTGCTTGTAACCCTGTCATTCCAAAGAAAACAGGCTGTGGCACATCTCTTTGAGACCTTGCATCTTCCTTGGATATAGCGCGGGCGACAAGCTGCTGTGCAACACTCTTGACTGTTGAGAACCACAAAAGAGCCATCAACCTCAGACCGACAGAAATTGGCATACTGCAGACAAGGCACTCTCTTAGAATCTTCGAAACGCGCCTGGGTCGGCCCTTCTTCTCCATCTCTGCTGCCTGGTTGCAGCGGCTGCAGAGTTTGCCAAAAATTTCGTGGAACGAGTGAGCAGCACCTTGACTGCTGCCATCAGCATGTCCGGCCTCAACTTCAGCCTCTTTTCGCAGAATGTTCGTCAAGATCAAGTGTCCTTGTGGTGCACAGGCTGCATACTACTCCTGACAGTGTCCACCTGCCTCTGTTTAGCCAAACATGCAGTTGGTAGGCTCGTGTGGCCGTTTCGAGTCTCGAACTATTGAACGATTGCCGGTCATGAGGTTCAGGATGCTACCTGCCTTTGGGTGGGATTCAGAAACTTGGAGGGGCAGGCTGCATGACACCAGCAAGTTCCATGAAGAAATGTCCCAAAAAGACGATTCTAACCCGCAAGGCTCACCTTGATCCTCGAACCAAGAACAAATCTCACCCCAGACAAGCCGCTCAATGCATCGGAGATAATGAAGGCCGTCTTTGGCGCATTCTGCCCGAGCTCACGCTGCCGTTTCCTGGCAACAGAGGCGTATAGAGGCGTGCAGCGCGGACTTCCTCACATAGCCCTCAACGCTTGCCAGTTTTATCTGTCTCTTAACGCAGCAGGATAGAGAAAGCCGTGCGATTCTGAACATTCCGGCGATGCATTTCTCGATTTAACAATAAGAGCCTCAAGTTCCCTGGGTGCACGCTGAAACAAAGTCCAAGGGTCTTGGTGCTGCCATCAGTGACGTTGTCAATGAAAACGGCCTCAACAGATGATGACTATACTGACTAATTATTATACATTCACGTTCAAGTACAAGCAAGGTCGTGTGTGCATACTGCATGACCAGTCGTTCAGGCAAGCAGCCATGATCAAGTTGAAGATCCCAATCGTGACGAACAGGAAGAGGAGAATGTATGCGATCATGAAGAAGCCACCGAACTCCTGCTCCAACCAAGTGCAGGAATCTGTGTGACCTCACTCTGTGTGGCAAAGCGTCGGCTTAACATTAACGAGCCTGATGCACCCCTGGAGATTCAGTTCCCCAAGACACAAGGGTCTGTCCTCATTGAGCCTCCACTGAAGCGGAGTTCCATCTTTAGCTACGCATCCATCCGTGAAGCAACGGAAGTTTGTGAGCATTGCAACTGGAACCTTGGATGGCAATCGAACAATGCAATCCTCTTTGACGACAGCCCCTCAAGCTGATGCCGTATATTCTATGTGTGCAGAATGGGTTAGGGCGGGCTCGGACAGCTGGAGAGCAGGGTGGTCAACACTCTCAGCACATCTCAGCACCCTAGTTGGCCATGGCACGTTTGTTCGGAACATGCCTCAAGGAAACACTGGACTTAGTCATAAGTGGGCCTTTGTGCTGGGCAACCGATGTTTCCTTAGCTTCCTTGGTTGGGCTCCGGGGCTCTGCTCCCGGATTCAGGGGCTTGGTGGTGCGACGCATCTGAAGCAACATGAACTGCATAGCAAAGTAGCCGTTGCGAACTCATCGTAATCCGAGAAGACCGTTCTGGTTACCACTCCAAGCAGGTACATGCATCCTACAAGCAAGACCACCGCCCAGAAGAGCACGCGCAGGCCAGTGAAAACGCCTTGAATCATGAGCTTCAGCTCCTGAAAGATTTTGAACTTCAGCAGCCGCACAATGCGTCCCAAACGTGCCAGCTTCAGCATCTTCAATGAACTCAAGGCCCCCGTGTCACTCTTGGAGCCTGCGGCCGCGGCTGAGAGGGTCAAACTCAGGTCCACGACCGCCAGGATGACACAAAGAATATCAAACCAACTCCAGTACCAGTCGCTCCCCCACAAGTACTCTTTGAACCCGAAGACACGGAGCTTCACCAGAACCTCGCCCATGAAGAACACGGTGAACATCATCTCTAGAACTGTCCAGATTGCGTGCTCGGGAGCGATGTCGGCGCTGAACCCTGCGACAACGGCACTAATCAATATGACAATGGCCGGGATGACGTCGAGCAGCAGCAAGAAAGTGGCCTCGGAGACTCTTATAAGGTTTGCAAGGCTCCACGTCCCTCAGGCATGATTCCTGTGTTACTCCCTGACCCTCTCCCCAGGCTACATCAGGTATGCCATGTATGCAGTAAGGTGACATCATCTTCGCTCTCCTCTTCGGAGTCGGAGGTTTTGAGTGAGTTCCGCAGGAAACTGCTGCGACGCTGGGATGGCTTGGAGCGAACGGACTTTGAGTCGGTCATCGGTGGAGGATTCGAAGAAGGTGGCGCTGGAGACGGGAGAGACTCGGACAGCGATGGGATCATATTACTATGGCAGCCATTGAGGTCCTCATGGTCCTTGTCGGCTTCCTTTTCATTGGCCCTTTCACGGAAGCGTGGGCTCAGCTTCTCACTTTCTAAGGCTCCTGGAAGCTGCACCACATTCACTGCATCGTGTTGGAGATTTAAAGTCGATATAGTTGCAATCGGCGGCAATGCCGGCAATGGAGGCATCGAGCCTGTCTGACTTAGCTGCCTCAGTGGGTCTTCTTGCGGCGCCTTCCCCAGCTGCTTGCGGAGTTCAGCGTTTTCCAAGATGACCTGCTCATATACAGCATTAAGCGCGTCAAGGTGACGTTGAAAAGAATCCTCCATGGCCTCGCAATACTGGGCTTGGGCCTCTAGGGCCGCCCCAGAAAAAATGAGCGAGTCTTCGCTCGGCAACCTGCTGCCTTCTGAGCCGAGCAACTTGGGAAGGGCTGGCACTTGAAACGAAAGAAACAAAAACATCGGTAGAATGACACCTTTTGCTCTCTCCATTCTTCAACATGCCATGCCATGTATTCGAAGTTTGCACAAGACATCAAGTGATATATTGACATGTCATGAGCACCAAACTGTCGGGCAAGCGAGATGGCAGCGGCTATGGGCGACAAGAGGGGCACGAAGGGCAAACTCAAGATCTTGTGTACACGCGAGCGAGGAGTTCAAAGTTATGCTCGAGCCTTGTTACTGCCACTCCGCGCAGTTGCCGCATGCAGTGATCGCGGCATTGCAAGCAGCCGTGGCCGGGTTGGCAGAAGCCGACGCAGCTGACCTTTGAGACTTTTCACAGGCTCAGAAGCCAGGTGCTTGCAGGCCCTCTTGTTTGGCAAACCCTGCCAGCTCCGGTGCATCAGTTCTTCTACGTGTAATGCGCCAAGCCATCAGGGCGAGGCAGCACATAAAGCCAAGCAAGCAGCGAAGCCAGCTGCGAAAAAGCAAGCACGAGGGCTTGCTGCCACCGGTCGCCTAGGCAATTGACAGAATGCATTTAAGATTTACCAGCCGACTTGCAAAGCACAACAATGTTGGAGAGCCCATGATTTCTTACAGCGTTGCTCGAAATCCACTGCACCGCTCAACTCCTTGAAGGGCCCACACCTGCGCCACAGGCCGTGATAGCAGCGGTCACGGACACAACGCTGGGCTGCAGCTTCGGCTCCTCATGCCAAGCGCAGGAACTCGGGACAAGACATGACAAGAACACGATGATTGACTTATGCCCTGCGAGCAGATGCGAGCAGTGCCATGTTCATGCATAACTCCTCGTCCAGAGTTCAGTGCAAAACATGAGCAGCGGAGGGTGGTGGAGGAAAAACACTTGCAAACCTACTCCGATTGAAGTTCGACACCAGGTCCCCCTGACCTACACCTCCGACCCTCCTCCTGCAACAGCTCAAAAATGTGGAGGGCTTTCTGCCATTCGTCGCTCCGGACACAAGTGCCTCTTCGAGAGCAGCGCAGCAAGCTGTGGCTGAATTTGAAACGTTTATCTAAATGTGGCAACACGGGGCCAGAATGCAAGTTGAATCGCTTCTGTCAGCCACAGAGTTGCGCAGATGAAGTTCACATGCGCGCGTGCTCCATGAGGCTGCATTAACTGGGTCGGCGTCAAAATTACTTGTTTAAGCCTTGCTTGTTTTTGAATTAGCACGTCCCCTATCGTTTTCCATGTCTTTCACCTACCGCACTTTTATCCTATAGTATCAAACAACAATATCATTTTAGCGTGTCCCCTATCGATCCTCGGCATTTTGCTGCAACAACTACCCCCTCTACTAAAATGATTAAGCGGTAATGTTGACCGCGTCGTAACTGCAGCCGTGGTGGCTGAGGCAGGAGTTGTAGGTGATAGTATTAGCCTCGCGGATTCAAGGATGTTGCAACGGTGTGGGGCCCATGAGCATGGCAACAGGACTTGCGTCAACGTGTGCTGTGATATCAGGATCAAATTCAACTGGTAAGGTCAATCCATTCGGTAAGATCAGTCCATTCTCCCTAACAGAGAAAGCTCCCCTTCAAAGCTGCAACTGCAATCAAAGCTGCTCGAACTGTGGTGTGGCTCATATCCTCCAGCAGGCACAAGGCCAGCTGCCATTGCCCACCTACAAAGAAGCCAGAAGACGTTTAAGGACGTTGCTGGTCGTCCCTGTTGCGGCTGTCATCTCTACAGCGACTACCACGTGTAGCATGTAAGCTGGCAAGTGCAGAAGCCAGCTTTTCCCAACTTATGCATTATGCTGACCAACCTTTCTCAAAGCCGTTGATCACCGCATTGTGGGACACTGCCTCGTGACAGTCGGCTCAGCACAACTGATCATTTTGAGTTGACGTACCTGCCAGTGTCCATGAACTCATCCCTGTGCAAGATTCCACTGCGTTGTCAAACGTGTGCGTCTCCCAGACCCAAACCAGTCCAGGCCTCCCTAATTCGCAAGTTCGCAGGCCAGCCTAAAGAGCTTATCTTTGAGCTGCCGGGTGACATCAGACTCCAAGCCCCGCATCGACAGCTCATCGAAAAGCTGCAATGCCTCCAACAGACTCTCAAGTTCGCCCTGACACCGCAGTCCATGTTAAGTTCGAGCATGTCAGGTCATAAAGGCCAGGAATTATCGTGTCTGGCTTTGTTGGGTCCACAAAATCCTGCAGCACGCCTGCTGCCACTCTGCCGCGGCAGCACATGCACTGATCGCCGAGTTGACCACAATGACATCCTAGAAGCAAGAGGCAGCAAAGGCAGTGGGAAGCATGGCGGCCTTTCATGTCGAGAAGTTGGCTATGCTTAGCAAGAAGTGCTCGGTGACATCTGGCCGCATCACTTCCTTCAGCCTTTAGATCTGTCAGGGGGGGGCCTTTATGAGGTGAGACCAAGAACCGGTCTCGATGCAACACGCAAGAAACTGTTTCATGTCCAGGTGGCCGCTTGCAGGTTTCGCGACTGAATGGTGTCAAGCAGGCCAAGGGCCTCTTTCCAGGCAGTGCCTAAGCAACGGGATATGATGAGAATCTTGGATGTGAGAGGATGACAAATCGTGCCATTCCAGTGTCACAGCACACTCTTTGCCAAAGTACACCGAAGTTTCTTGCACTGAAGCTAGCCGCGTCTCTACTTCGGCACTCGCAATACCACAACGGCTAAACCTGCTCTTCGCAGTCTCACTTGTTCACCACGGCACCCTTGCCACAGGCTGTAATCGCCGCGCTGACGTGGACAATGTTTGTCTCCAGACAGGGCTCTAGTCACTAACCGCTACTTGCAGCACTACATCTCCGAAAACGCATCTCGAACCGGCAAAACCCTTGAACGACAAAGCCAATCTTGCGCGAAATGCTTGCCTAAGACTGGTCTGCCGGCAGCTTTGAAGGTATGTGTGTGTTTTGGCCTCTAGCAACGAGCTGTCCAAGTCCGTCAGCACTTGAAGTGCCTCGCGACCAAGCGCTATGGGCATGTTATTGCATGCCCTCAAAAGCATCGCCGTTTGCGTCATCTACATGCTACAGGAATGTATCCTGCAAGGCTGGATTGGCCTCAAAGCTGTCATCCGCTTCAACCAATTGCGGAAAACGACGCGTGAGATCCCGTCAGCGCCTGGGGCCAGGCCGCTTGCGAGGCACATGCAGCGATCGTTGCTCCGAATGCCACTGCATTGGGCTGTCGGTCGGCAAGAAGCCGCCTGCACAGTTGCCACAACTGACTTGTTCGGATTTGTTCGGTCTATCACATGAGATCCATTCGATCATATGGGCTTGCTGTTTTGCCGCCCGCCTAGCTGAACTGAACCGATATTTGGGGGGGGGGGGGGGGGGGGGGCGACATGTTTTGGGATCAGGGTATGTATTGGGGGTATGTTACGGGGTATGTTTCGGGGGTACGCTTGGGGGGTATGTTTCGCGCGTGTGCATGCCCTTCTTAAACGCGGGCCTCCCCAAAAACGAACAAACCCATGTCGTGGCACGTTGAAGGAACACCAAAGAATGATCTTCATCATGTGCGGACAGATCAAGCAGGTGGCTAAGTAGCCCAACATTGGGGCTGTCTCCCCCCCAAGGGCTTCACAGCTTCACAAAGCAGCCCCTTGTCGCGCACTGCTGATGATGCTTACTGGCGCTTGTTGCTAGCAGTGTCGTCGGAAAAAACGGCGTTTCTGTTAATTGCTAGTCGGATCGCTTGGTTCTGGTTGCAAGACCCAGCAAGACCAGATAAGTTCTACTTTCTAGCGGGATTCCACCGGCCACATCTGGTGATGCCAGCCCCCACTGTGGCAAAATGGCGTTTTCACCGAATAGCACCCACATCATCCCGGGCCAGCTGAGGCGCAATGCCAGCTGCCACTGCTTGCCACGAGCACAGCTGACGATATAGCGGCTGTCACTGCTATCCTCAGTGAGGTGGCCCCCAAACAGCCACATAGCTACCCAAAATAAACCGTAAAGTTTAAAAAACACAATAACCGCTTCTCGTTTCGAAAGGTTTCCTACATCGTTGCTCAATGAGATACCGGACATGCGATGACAAAAGTATGCAACAATTTGCAGAGGTCCTTGTGCGACGTCACCCTGAAAACCGTTGATCAGTCCTTGCGGGCTGAATACAACGAAATTAGGGGCCTGACGTCGTGAAACAGCGCTTACTTCACAGAAAGTGTACCTCGCAGCACCCCGATGCGATTTTGATTCTCCTAGGAATGTATAAGCTTCAATTCAGGCAAGTCCCACGTCAACCTCAACCCGAAGCAAACACCTTTCAATACTGTATCTGGATTTAATCTTGTATCTTCACATGCTTGCGTCGGCTCCAAATTCCAAAGGTCTTTCCGGTACTTTGGCTTCTTGTGCGCACAGTTACGCTCAGGGTTTGCCGCATCCATGCCTCGTCCTGCTCGCTGCACGTCGTTTTTTCTTGATGCGGCATTTCTGCATCGCAGGAATTCTCTGACGCTGGCGAACATCCAGCAGCAACTGATCACGAACGGATTGTGACTGGCCGGCGCTTTCATCCACGCAGTAATCTCGTTTTTGTGAAGGCAAGCCAGGTTCTTGGCTTTTCAGGCCCCAAAGTCCCGAAAGCTCATCAAAACCCATCACCCGAGCTTTTCGGACGATCCAATCTGGCAGGTTGCCCATCTTGACTTGCTCTTGCCGGCTGAGTGATTGACGCCGCGGGAAACGTCGGCAGGAGTTGATCGGCTTCAGTGGCCTCGTACTCGTCCTTTGAGCTCGCAGAGCTCGGTGGAGCTGCTTTAATTTGTGTGCAGCTATAAGTCCCAATTATTTCAATTCCTGTCACTGTCAAGCCCCTGAAGTGCGAACCGGTCGCACTGTACCTTCGTGTGATGGAGGCAAAAAAACCTATGCATGTCTCAGGGCTTGACAAGTCCAGACGAGCAGCACGCAAAGCTGGCATCAATGAATTCGCTGCTTGGTCCATAGACCAGTTAAGTCTTGCGGCATCGTGCTGGAGCATGCCATGCGCGAATTCGACTGAAACATGATCGGCTGTTTGAGGTGAAGGAGGTGCTATCTCGCGTGAAGGTCTGGTTCTGGAAGCACACTGCTTGTTTGAGAGTGTGAGGGCTGGCCAGGTGTTCTACTTTCTGCGCCTCGACATGTGAAGCCTGCAGCCACCACAAGTCAAAGTCTCAAGCCAGTCAGCACAGCAGCCCTGACTATGCCTGAAGCATGGGGTGCCAAGTGATGCTGACAGCAAGGCAGAGGAATCACAAGTGCTCTCAGGTGCAAGCGGACATTACAATGGCGCGGTTGCGCTCCTGCATGGCAATGCGTTCACACTTTGAGAACTTTGGATCCCCTTGCTGCAATATTTGCAAAGACTCCTCTGGCAAGCTTCGCTACACTACCCATTGTACATGCGTTGCCCGAAAGAATAGCACAAAGTTAACACAAAGTGTGTCAGCCAAGGTTGAGACCGTCAGCCACGAGCTGAGAGACTGCATGGATGGAGCCTGAATAGTCTCCGACACACTGCTTCGAACGACAATTGCTTACGGATGTGGAGCTCATGCGCGCACCCCACATCTAAGCAGCATCTCGTCTAGTGAAAAGCTGATATACTTCAGCCTGCGATTCCAATGCAAGCAGGAATGCCTGCCCGTCGCTGGGGAGATTCGACAATGACACAGTCGCCTGGCAGTGCTCTCACAGGGGACCTCTCCTCACTCTGCCACGCCCGGTGTGCAAAACTCATGAACCGGATGGAGAAGAAGGTCGATCTTCCAGCCGGGGCTTGCGATTGCAAGTGGCAATGACCACCTCGTTCAGGTCCACTTCCACAGCCAGGCGCACACCCTGTCAGTGTTTGGGCGACATCGGAGAAGTTACGGAACTTGATTTGTACCACTTGCACAATCTTCTACATGTCTCCAATCGCAACCTCATGCTGCAAATGTAAGATAATATAAGGCAGACTGTGACTGCCTCTACAATACAGTAGTAGACGCAAGTACAGGGTAGTTTGCTCCGCTGTGATCGCACCCCGACTCATTTCGTGACTGCCATCTGTCTTGCTTGTTCTATGTGTTCCGCGGACGGGTGGCGCGACTAGGGGACGGGGGGTTCTGGCGAGAGGAGGAAAATCGTGTCTTGATGAGGACCTAGCCCACATGGATCTTCAAATCCAACGCACTGATGATGTCATTCCTTAAAGGTCTAGCTCATGTGGGTTCAGCGGACATTCAATGATTTTAATGAATGCAGCACGGATTCACTTACGGTACGTAGGATCACACATGCATGCAGAGGATACAGGTATATCCTTTCATTCTTATTACGGCTTATGGTTCTGTGAAAATTGGGGGGCGGGGGGGCGAGGGAGGAGGTGGGCATACCACGATCTACTGTACATCTCCTTCTGCTTCTGAACAGCATTAGTTCTGGGGCAGGCAGAGCGCGAGAGAGAGAGAGAGATAGAGAGAGAAAAGAGAAAGTCCTTTTGACCTTTGAGTTCGCAGGATGGTGTGCGCGCGACTCGAAAACTGATGGATGCAGCTTGCGCCGCCGTGGACCACGGAATGCCAACAATCTGTACATGAATGTGTGCATTGCACGTAGCGTAGGGAGAAGATGAACGAATGGTGTAACATGAATATGCAGTCATGCTGAAAAGGTGGGCGTTTCGAGCAATTATTTGGCGCATGCTTCGCCACCACTCGTTCGACATGCTGATCGAACGTTGCACCATTGTTTGCTACGCGCGCAAAATGATTCCCCTCGTTTGCTGCGCATGTAGACTGAATGCTTTGCCACCATTCACTCTTCAAAAGCCAATCCGGTGCTGTATAACTGCTTGCGCATGCGAAATGCTTTACAATCACGCGAACGCAAGCTGAATGCAAAAAGCACTGGTTGCATACGATGAACAATCCACACACTATGCGCCATAGCATGAACCTATAGCAATGACGCACCATGCCAGGCATGTTTGCCAGGAACATGATCCCAACGTCGTGGGATCACGTCACATCCAACGACCACGTGTTTTTTCGGAACACTGCCCTCCTGCTGATGTACTAGCCATCGTGTGTTCAGCGACTGTTCTCACGTAATTACTCTCTCATACACGCGCACACACACACTGTGATGTGCAGCATGAGTTCCTTATAATATGAACACTGATATTTGCAGAAATGTTCACAGGGTTCACACGTGTTCAATGTAACTTAAGCGCGCGCACACGCCCAAGTGCTCACTGAGCTCACTCTGTCGCGGAATGACAGCCAAAAGCAAAATGAACCTCCACCAGCACATCCAGAACGGTCAGAAAGCGAAAGAAGGGTTCACCTGGCACGGTCAGAGTCCTTACATGTGCTACATCCGATACGACCCCGTCTCCCAACGACACGGGCACGTGATACAAAGTCTCACACGTAAAAGGTCATGTCGGAAGGTGACGTTTCAATCTCCAGACGCAGCTCTGTGTAAAAAACCGAGGTGGGCGGACTCTTCCCGGCCATCTCCTGCTTGGGAAAATACGTAGAGAGCGGGTGCTGAAAGAGTCTGAAGATGTCTGAGAAAACTGTTTGGTTCCACTCTACACATTGTGAAGTCATCAAGAAGCAGCTGATGAGTGCATCGGCGCAGTTCCGCACACACAGTGGCCGCCACTGGTCCGCATGGCAAGCTTTCATTGTAGTCATGTCACGTGCAATGCGTGACACTGCACAGGACAAGAGGTGTGGCGCACCCCCAGCCCCAAAGGACGGCAAACACCTGGAACTCCAACCTGACAGGCTGAAGTCGAGGCTGAAGCATGCTGCAACAGGCTGAGGACAGGCTGAGCACGGATGACTCCACGACTCGCGGCGACTTACGCGAACAGCCGCTAACATTAGAAGTTTTCAGACAAAGCTTCCGCCATGACTGTCCACGCCTGAAAGGCGACTCCGGCTGCTATGTTCGCCATCAAGCCAACCTTCCAATGCTTTCGGTTGAAACTCAAGAGAGGGTTTAGGTTCAGCTTGGCAGCCACCGCTATTTTGGCAGATGCAGTGCCTCACCGGGCCTCATCCTCACTCTCCATGTATTGTGTCTCTGGTTTTTTTTGGACGATCCTGATGTTGCTGCTGCTGTTGCTGCTTCTGTTGTTGTCCGCTGTTGCTGTTGTTGCTGTTGCTGTTGTGCCCCTGGTCGAAATGACCTTTTCTTTGCTCGCTGAAGTGACCGCATGCGACCGCAGTGCTGCACTGCCGCGCGATCCAGAAAGACTTCTGTACAAAAGGCAGTTTCCGGCCAAGAAGGTCACAGATATTCGCAATTTCCAATCACAACCAAAGAGTCCACATCATGGCGTGTACATTAAAAAGCTGACCCGGTGGCCGAAAGATGCCCTATTTGAGACTTCCGCAACTCTCCATGCAGGAGCAGTACAGTACTAGAAAGTGAAAGTCTTGCAGCTGTCGTACTCCGAAGCCTTTTGGCTTTTTGGGTCTGGGTGCAAGTTCTGGCGATACTGTGACACACTGGTTGGATGGAAACAAAAACGAAATCCCAGGAGTACACCGATTACATATGCTCTCAAAAGACAATCAGGGCACCCAGGTCCAAGGGCCAACTACAAGTCGGTCGCCCTTACGGCTCAAAGAATGCACGGTTACTCCGCGAGTTCCACCACCACAACGTCTCAGGCGTGTTCGGGTCACAGAACTGATACCAGCATGATCTCTCGGCTTCGTCGGTGTAGAACCAGTCGTTGTTGCGAGGGCAGAAGAACCAATGACGACCCTCGGCATCCTGGTATCGCTCCCACACTTCCAATATGTAGTCCTGTCACACTTGAATTGAACTGGTGATCATGGTGCATTCCAAACGTCGCACGATTTTTCGCAACACCCTGCAGTTTTGGAGCCTGCTCGGCGCTTCGTGGCCGGAGCACTGTCGTCTCCTCCGAGGTATCAAAAGACAGAGCCAAAATGGGCCACTCACAAGGCCATCTTCGGCTCACAAAGTCGGCATGTTGGCATATGCGGCATTTTTAGGCAACCAGCTCCTCTTCATTGATTGGCGGGAGCGTTGCGCGGGGAACGTCCGCAACACGTTCGGAAAGCCCTTCCTGCAGCTCTGCGTCTTCGAAGGGCAATGGCACCTGTGGGAACGAGCACTGGAGAGGCCTTGCAGCCTTTGCATGAGCATGGAAGCCAGATGGAGACAAACAAGCCTGATCAGCTCCAGGAGGCTCATGCGAGTCTGCAGGAGGATGAGCACCACTGAAACTCGACAGGTTCGAGACTTGCGTGTTTAGACCATCGAAGAGATCCCACACACGCCTCATTCGTCGACCAGACAGATGGATGGCGCTACCAACATCCCGCACACACGCATCAGTATCAAGAAAGCACTAATTCTGCCCAGGTGCTCTATGGAAGCCGGTGAAGGTGAGCCTGCAGCCTGCCGTTCCCCTCCAAATTGTGGCAGCGGCCTTATGACGCTGAACAACAGCTGCAACACGCCGCAACTAACGCAAGCCTGCCATACATCATACCCGGCCATATCGTTCACAGCTTCAATCGCGGCTCGAGCTTTCGATATACCGTAAAATACAGTTCAAGTTGGCAATCCATATGCACTGCCCTTCCCATTTGTGGTATATGCATCCCAAGTTTCTGAAACATGCGCCGGTTTGCAACCCAGGCGCCAAACGTTGAAGCTATCTTCGTTGTTCTCTCCCACTGCCTGCGACCAAGCGCGGTCACCAAGATCACCAAGTACCTTGAGAGGAGCTTGCAGCATGATAGCGTCTGGATCGGTGTCCCGATCCAAGGAACACGAATCGACAGTGGCAAGGGCTTTCATCAGAATTTCTGCCGCCGGCTTGCAGATTCATCGGTTTCCTCGCTCCCGCTGTCGATGGTGGCAAGCCCTGGCGTGGCTGAGCCATGAGACGACACTTCCACGGAATCCAGGAAGGATGTGTCCTGAGAAATCGTCACTGCGTTGACATGCGCTGGATGGTAGAACAAACGTGCCTGACAATGCACATTTCCAACATCCTCAGACATACTTGCTTGAGTGGGGCATCGCAGGCTGCTCGCGCATTGCAAAATGGGTGATGCAGCGATGCTGCTAGCTTCCTGGATTGAACTGGAACCTCTCTGGAACCTCTCTAGCCTGCAAGTCCAAGTCTCGTCCGTGGTGATGCGGAACTTGCACAATGGGCACTCGTCGCTACGACCCAGCCACTCGTCAATGCAGTCCTGATGGTACCTGTGAAAACATGGCAAGATGCGGAGCTGCTGCTCCTCGGCGAAGTCCTCTAGGCAGATGCAGCACCTCGGCTTTAAAGGTAACTGAGCTGCCGGAAGAAGGCACTCAGGGTTTGCGTCTCCCGCTCGCAACTGAGCAGGAGTCAAAGTGATAACAGCCAGATGCATGTTACATTCGGTGTTGTTCTCTTTGCAGAGGTAGTGAAGCAAGCGGGTTGTGGGAAAATGGAATCAACTGGCTCGTGTGTTCCACAAATGTCCCGAGAAGTGCAAAACGTATGCCTGTGAATACAAGATCACTCCGAGAAGCTTCTTGGACGCAGAGTCGCAGGCCTCAACAACTTGCACGCCAAGGCCCTTGCAGCAACATAAAAACCACCTTTCACAATGCTTCTCACAGTTCTTCCTGGGAGTCACATTCGCTTGTCACCGAACCATACTGCCGTTAACCTCACTTCGCAGCTATACTGCACTTCAACGGGCACCAACTTGAATATTCTTGAATGCTTGGCCGGCTTCCTCATGCCCCCCGACCCCGGCTCAGAGGCTTGATAGCCTTCCCGACTCCTCAAGAACCAGGCACTAGCGTGTGATAATTGCAATTCAAAGATATTCAACTAGAGAACTAGCTCTTGCCTGCTTTCGCGGGCAGTGTAAGCACACGTTGAAGCATGGTTTTGGAGGCCTCCCCGCGCACGTCCTTTTGCTTGAAGGTGTAAAGTGCCTCAGTGATGCTCAGGAGAACAACTTAATCAAGACCAATAAGCGAGCCGCCGTTATCCGGCATCACCTTCGGCAAGGCACTGTGTGCGCATCGATCACTCCCCTTGCCAAAGACCGGCTCGCGCTCAAGGAGGCGACCCCCCAGACGGTGACGCCAACGCCAAGACCAACACCTCCTGTCTTGCAAAAGGTTCAATAGGTCACGGGGGGGTCAGGGCAAGCTATAGGAAGGCTTAAGGTCGCCCCCGCAGCCTGACTCTGCGTCTTTGCTCAGAGCGAGACTTGGCAGTCGGCACTACGGCTCTTGCATTCCACAAATTCAGGATGCAGCTACAATGCTCAAGCCGCTGGGGCGCACCAAGATCATCATGAAAGTCAGCTGTTGAACCCATCTCTCCATCAACCAGGCAGCTTTAACTAAACAAACAATTGAGACTTGCTTGGCTCTGCCTCCTGGATAGACAAGTCCAGGTGGAATTGGGCCGCTAGATGAAGGGCCGGATGTGAAACTTTCACGATCCCGTCCTCAGGGTGGATTTCATGCGCACAGAAAACGTATAACTACGGCCGACCTACAGTATACAGAGTCAGGCAAAGGCTAAGGCTTTCCTGGCGACTAGGCCTACTGCATGTCACTTGGTGGGAACAAATCCACCACCAAACGCACAACATCTGGCTGGGCCTGGGGGCGCACGATGAAATACCACCTGCAGGGGTCCCGAAGTGAGGCCCAAGTCTAGGTCTGTCAGACTGGGGAGCTGATGTTGGTGTAAATGCATGCGATCTAAGTCACAACTTGGTTGCCCTACGTAAGAACCATCAGCATGTCAGCATGGCCAACACTTGAGTTTGAATGGTACCACATCAAATCTGGAGAACCTGTGACATCTGTGACATCTCCAAGTAGGGTGGCGGTGGCGGAAACGAGGGTGGTGGTGCTCTTGGCGAGATGATGCTGGGCTCCTGCACCGGAGTTCTACTGCACATGTTGATGTGCAGCTGGTTTATGTCCAGTGTCAGGCAGTACTCAAGATTACATGCGACGAACAGCGACTCCGGCACCATCAACACAGCATCTGCACGTGATGCTCTGTCCCACCACAAAGACATGAAGACATGCTCTCGCTCAGCACCCTCAGAGCTGACTGAGTCAGAGGACATGCCCAAACAGAGGCACACAAACCTCCCAGACCTCTGCACGCAAAGGGCCCATCCACGCCGCCGCTGCAGCCTCCAAGTGGTCGAATGAGCTCTGGCTCATGTCCTTCGAATGGAGAGGGTTAGGTACCTGGTTGGACCTTCCGTGCTACTCATGCTACTCCAAGCTGGAAAATGGAAAAGGAATGGTGTTTCTTGCTTGCTCCAGGATTGCGAAACAAAGTAAACAAACGATTTGCGGTTATTTCACTAACAAAACTCAAGAGTTTGAGGCGCACTGCCTCGAACTTCTCAGCATCTCGGGTCCTACGCCAAGCCTTTGTGGGCCAAGCCCTCTGGTTCGGGATAGTTCAGGTATCGTCAGTCCAGGGCTGAATGTGCTGCCTTCACTCGACTAGGGTAGATTCAGGAGACGACCGAACGCGGAATCAAATGTATCTCTCTGCATGTTGACATGGTGGCAATGCCCTGCCCTGCCCAACAATGCCTGACCACCGGCATCGGTGAAGACAAATCTCGCCGAAGCTACTGCCGCCTCGACAATAACATTTATTTAGTCTTGTACTCGGTCAAAATTCAGTGTTGATCTTCCTCCCCTTATGCAGTATTGGAAAGCCCACTCGGCACTCGCAACATCCTTGGGGCTGGCACGGGCGGGGGAACATCATGTCGTGGCCGATTGCTGATGTTGACTCCACTGCCTGGTCGCTGGCAAGTTTCCAAAACGCTTCTGATCTTGTGCCACGTGCATCGGAGGCCCGAAGCCTACAGCAAAAGCTAAAGAACCGTGCCAAAGGACCTGCCATGCCTGCCTTTCGAATCCTGATAGGATCTCTGCTCGACATTACGATTCTGTGTTGCTGCGCATGGCTCTGCTCACGAGAACTTGCCACAAAGCTGCTCGATGACGTTGCTCTGAAGGAGCCGAAATGGCCTGTACGCCAGGTGCATGTTCGAAATCGGCATATTATCGGCAATTTTATCTAGAGCTGCCATGATAGACTCTTGCAACACGTCAGCTGAATGAGCAGACCAAAGAAATCATCCATGTCTGGCCTGGATCGTGGGACTGGGCTTGTGGTGCCGCCCGCGGGACATTCAACGGCTCGTGCATTGGAGGAGGGAAGTACGGCTGCCCGTAGAAAGACTGCGTATCAGCACTTTGAACTGTGAAGCTATCCCAGGAACGGTCGTCATTCCTCATATAGTCTTCCCACGGGTTCGTGCTGTCGCTTGTAATGTTTGCCCAGCTGGTACTCCAGGGATCGTTGCCATCGTCCCATGGATCATGACCTCGTGCCATGCTCCAAGGGTCCCATGACTCATGGCCGGGTTGGCCAGGCGTCCCGTGGTCTTCTGCGGCGCTGCGTCTGTGTCCGCGCCAGGGTAGGCGAGAGGGTAGGCGAGGAGGTGGAGGCGGTCGAGGGACACCTAGCAATGGAGATTGCATTGCTGTTAAGCTTCGCGGGGAACCAGTTCACGAAACAGAAACTTCCGCTGCGAAAACGATCTTAGCTCTTCTGCCGGTCAACAACAGATCCCTGCAACCTTGACCTGCCGTGCGTGACAACTGGGAAGAGCTTGAAGCAAAGCTTACAGACAACCTGGAGCGAGATCCACGACTGTAACTTCCTAACCCTCCGAGCTCTTCCCCCCAAATTGCTGTCATTGGGAACTTCTAGGCGTACTTGCAATGCACTACAGTATACATAGATCGGCTGCTCTGGGAGCTTCATCTCCGATGACTCTTATGTTGAATCTCACTCTCCAGCTCATGCCCACCTCGGTCTCGCCACCGCGGGGCACCCTCGGCCTCAAGCGGGATGAAGGTTGCAATAACTCGTAATACGCCGTAGCGACTTCCATTGAACTCTTCACGAAGAAGTCCGTGCTCGGCAAGGAAGGGCGTTACATGGTGGCACAGTGCAAGAATTGCAGGAAACGACATGCTCGAGCGACACAGTGCCACAGACGCGGCACCCGCGATCCCAATTTCGAACCCGCCCTCGCAGCCCTAAGAGTGGCGGTGGTGGTGGCGCTCGCGCCCGACGACCGCTGCCATACGTGCGGATTGGACAGTCGAGGCGCCAAACGCCACGTCAAAAGCCCTACCGTGTGTTTCTGCGCTTGTGCAGCGTGAGATGTTGGTTGGCCTTCTTAAGTCATTAAACTTTGCCGCTCGGACTCTTCCAAGTTGGTCTGCGTGGCCGTTCAGAACTCCGGGCAAGGCAGGCCCTTGAAGCTTGAGACGTTTTACTCCTGATCTGTTCGGGCTGCGATGGGCTGCGCTTGTCATACTCTCGCGACGTGCAAAAAAAAGTGCACTTCAATAAGAGGTAGAGTGCTATGGGCACTAGCCTTGCCTGGAACCGAAGCTCTGAGGCAACGACTGCCATGGCAGCCGGAGGGTGGAAGGGCGGGCTGCTGCGTCGCATGTACTAGGCCAAGCAGCGCTGAGCCATTCAAGGCTGTGCCTAACTGTGCCTATAGTACCTATAGTGGAGACTGTAGGCAAGTCCAAACAAAAAAGCCACATAAAGCCATGACATGCCCTGATCATTCTGATCCTGCCGTCTGAGAGTCGAGAATCGGGAAGGTTGTACTGCAGACAGCTACTTATTGTTGCACTATGCTTGTTGCTGTTTAAGGTAAGTTGATGCTTCAGGAGCCGCTGAAAAGCCAGGCAAGCGGCAACTTCAGGCATCACTCAAAGACTTCAAAGAATCCTTCTGCAAGTACGCTTCTCAAAATATGATGCGAACGCCAAACCCCTGTGGCCACAGCCTCCAGCAATGGGGCCGCATCTGCGCCACTCCCAGCGTTCACGCGGAAGTCGAAGCGAAACTTGCCTGAATTGTCGCCTGTCGTGAACCGAAGGCCGGTTCTTGTTGAAGAAAATTTGGATGCAGCAGTATGTGCTGGAAGCTACGCCCGTCTTTGGCGAGCACTCCAAGCACTTCCATGTATCAGCTAAAGAATCCGTCAGTCACCCTCCCCCCCCCCTCCCTCCTGCAAGGGCGTGCCCTTGAAGATACTCTGCGGAACCGCGACAAGCTTCAATCTACAGATGGAATTGTGCTAAGCAGTCGTTGAACTCGTACGTTTTCTGCAATTGGCCTCCAGAAGTCATGGGCACCGTCGAGGCAAGAACCTGTCTTGAGCCGCCAACGACCTGTGGCATCGGAGGACATGATTGGCGTCTTTTCTAAGGACTGGACGCATGCGAAATCATTGATGCAGCATTCGCTGCAAGTGATGCTTAAACACCGCTGCGTGGGCCGCTTATA